AAGTCAAACTTCCGACAATATGGACAGATGAAAAGCAGAGCAGGGCAGAGGCAGAGAGAAGAGAAAGATTAGAAGAGAGAAGAGTAGAAGAGAAAGGGTCAGAAGAAGAAGATGCAGATGCGCGAAAAGGTAAGAAAGTCGCGAAACACTGTGTTTTTCCAATGATTTGGGGCTCCGGAGGGTCGAAAAGTAGGCTCGCTAAAGCGGTGGGTGCGGAGCCAGCTGGCCAGATGAGAGATGAAAAATTGCACGCCGTTGTGGCGCGAAGCACATTTCGAAGTCAAAATGTACAAAACACCTGGGTCTCGGAGCACTTTTGGAAGTTGAGATGTAAACATGCACGCCGTTGTGGCGCGAAGCACATTTCCAAGTCAAAATGCACAAAACACACCATTCTCGGACCACTTTTGGAAGTTGCGATGTCGAAAAAGTGCACGCCGTTGTGGCGCGAAGCACATTTCCAAGTCAAAATGTACAAAACACACCAGGTCCGGACCACTTTTGGAAGTTGAGATGTCGAAAAAGTGCACGCCGTTGTGGCGCGAAGCACATTTCGAAGTCAAAATGTACAAAACACCAGGTCTCGGACCACTTTTGGAAGTTGAGATGTCGAAAAAGTGCACGCCGTTGTGGCGCGAAGCACATTTCCAAGTCAAAATGTACAAAACACCTCAGCTCCGGACCACTTTTGGAAGTTGTGATGTCGAAAAAGTGCACGCCGTTGTGGCGCGAAGCACATTTCCAAGTCAAAAGTGTAAAAGCTGACGGTCTCGGACCACTTTTGGAGGTTCAGATGTCGAAAAAGTGTCAAAAAAGTGCACGCCTTTGTGGCACGAAGCACATTTCGAAGTCAAAAGTGTAAAAAACTGAGGGTTTTGAGCCTTTTTTGACGTGAAGATGTCGAAAAAGTAGACACTGATTAACTTAACTAACTTGACTAACTTAACTCACTAACTTAACTACCCTAACCTCGACGACAGCAGCAACAGCAACAGCAGCAACAACAACAACAACAACACCAACACCAACCACAACAACTACAACTACAACAACAATAGATCGATAGATGGAGAGATAGATAGATAGATAGACAGATAGATAGATAGTCAGACAGGTAGACAGCTAGACAGATAGACAGATGAAAGAGAGAGAGAGATAGATAGATGGATAGATAGATAGGTAGATAGGTAGATAGGTAATTAGATGAAAGAAAGAAAGAGATAGAAAGATCGATAGATAGATAGATACATAGAAGATAGGCTGGTAGGTAAGTAGATAGTCAGAGAAAGAGAGAGAGAAAGAGAGGAGACCTCAAGCACCTTTCGGTCCATCAGTGGCTTCGCTCTGCCATCCCTCATTCACAACAACCAAGCTCTCCTATAGGTTTCCTATTTTTGAAACTTCCGCCACCGCCTTGTGCGGTACTACTGGTAAATGCGAATTTATACAAAGAACATATATATATATATACAATACTCAATCTTTGTACAAGAAGTTTTAAGGAACATCTGCTAAAAGAAATAGGAAAACAAAAGGAATGGCAAAACACAAAGCTTGGCAAAAAAGGCAACCCAAAAGAAGAACTGGTTCAAGAAAAAACTTCAGGGAACAACTTTGTAAAGAAAATAACTATGGCAAAGAACCAACAAGTCCAAAAAAGAAAATGAGCAAGACACATATTTTCCTATTGGAAACTTCGACTACCTCTGAAAACTCATTTTGCACCATCCATTGCCAATGTCAAATGCTTAATCGGCCTCGTGACAGTTCGTTTGCAGAGCAGAGTGCTGCAAAGTGATTTCTTCTTTCGTGTTTTCAAGTCGCTGAAAAATATGAAAATTCCAAGTGCCATTGGCAGGCCGCACCAATTTCCAATTCAACCTGGTTTGCGAGAGCCGGGCCGAAAATGTGAATCATTGTTTCCTCAAGGCTTCAAATCGATGCAGTTATGTAGCTAGCGGACATTGTGATTTCAGAGTGTTCCTTACGGTGTTCCTCAGGGTGTTCCCTTGTATCCTTGGCGTTTTGGCACAAATTAGAAGGCTCTGAAATGCACCTAGTCACATCAAGCGGCCCAAAGCTTCACGGCCATAGTCACGACCAGCATTCCAGTAAAGCGGCTCGTCGAAAGGACTTCCCGAGTGTCGACCGGATCCTCGCAAAGGCATTGCTAGTTATGAATGTCTTCAATCTAGAGTGTTTTTCACCATGTTTGGCTGTTGTTTCTCGACTCTTGACCTTCTAATCCGGCTACAAAAAGGACTCGTCACCAACAGTTTCGTTTGTTTTGAAACAAACGGGCAGCTTCTGCAGAAGGGCCGCCCTGCCTGTGTCATAGCAGCTTTGATGAGTTCACGTGTGGTATGTGACAAGTTACATTTCCATCCGAGAAAAACCTGAGAAAATGTTTCCCAACGCCCCAAGCATTGCACCAAGCATCGGTTCTCGTTGTGCAGTTTCCTCCCCATCACCGAACCACCGGGACCTTCGGGCCCAGGGCCAAAGAAGAACCAGGCCTTGGCCCGGCCACGACACCAGAGCTGTGCCACGGCTTGACGATCACCCCATGGGTTGATCTCATCGCCATACATCCCCAGACCACTGTGCTCCACTGAGGACCATTGTACCTCAGATCCGCTACAAGGGGTTATATGAGTCATATGGTATCCAGCACCAAACTGATAGCCAGGATAGTGGCAACTGACATTTGGAGAGTTGTACAAGGTGTCACATCTGACACTTTTACGTCACTTAGCTTAATGGATTGCCAGGCGGCAAAGCCATCAAATCGCTCAGCACTGAGATAACCTTGATTGAAGTCCTGGATCCAAGAATCATGATGTAGCCTTGTCACAGGAGTATGTCATTAAAACAAGCGCCGTTTTGCAACATTCCGGGCTGAAATTCTTGAGATGCAAAAAGCAAACAGGAGCACTTCTTTTGATCCCGAAAGCTGCTTTGTATCTGTCCAGGTTCAATCATGATGGCACCTCTACGCGCTCAATGATAAAGGGTGTGCATCATATAGATTGTCAATCAATCTGCGCGTGTCAAACGTCGGTCTTCAACCCTGCCAGTGATATTTGAGGTGATGTATTCTTCTGATGACATGCGCCATGTAATTGACGAATATGAAGGTGAAAATGAAGATGAGATGATGATGATGATGATGATGATGAGGATGAGGATGAGGACGACGACGACGCCGACGACTCCGGACGACGAGGGGGGTGGTGGTGGTGGTGATGGTTCACCACGGCGTTTGTGCACGTTGCGCAGATATGAGAGATATGAATCATCCATTTTTGCATTCTAATTTTGGTCGGCTCCTCTGGCAGGAGGTTGGTGATCTTGGGATGGCGATCGGGGCACGAGGACAGATTGGCATATTCCAAGGTGGAGACCCGTGACGCCACACCATACTCCAGCAAAATGGCTTCGATCCAAGGCGACAAGGAACCCAAGACAAGCCAGTGACCTGTCAGTTGGTGTGGGCTTGCTGGCTTCCTATGATTAAAAAAACAAAGCCAATAAGTGAATTCAGGCCACAAACCTCGAGATCGAACTACAAATCTCGTATCAGAAACTGCCTCTTCAAAATGTGGATTCTGCTGCCCAAAGCCAAAGCCGAACCCGGCCGAACCTCCCATGGCATCCTCGAGCAAAGGAAGCGCATCTCTCAGAGACGCCACGAAGCGTGCGGTGGAGTTCAGTTCTTCCGAGTCATAGGCCACGAAGTCGTCAAATCGAGGCCATCGCAACGGCTCTGGACCCTGGTAGAAACGGAAGAGGTTCATCAGATCCTCCACGGAATCCTGTTGGGCAACGAGAAATGATAAGGATAGGCCTTCAGTGGCTGAAAAACAAGACCTAGTGGAAAAAAACAAAATGAGGATTAATGAGGAGGTTTAGTGGGTGCAGTTATTACTGCTGGATTGCAGTGCCACTCACTGCAAAAACCTGTAATGGTCACGATCATCATAAGCACCCACATGCATAGCACACTGAACTGTGCCATGAAAGGGAGCCTGAAGGTACTGGCCTATGGTTTGACCCCTTGAACGCACAGATTTTGATTATCTTTTGGTGTTTGAGTTGCTGGCTTGTATTTCCATTGTATGTGCCTCCTTCGCTTTTTCTTCTCATAGTTTGTCACAGGATATGTTAATCTTTCCCAAAATGTTGTCCGGTTCCCAGTCCCACGCCATCCTTGCTCCATTGCTTGCAACGTCGCTCCCAGCTATGAACTGTTGCGAGTTCGTAGCGAGGAAGAAAGGTCACCCCTCCACGCTGAAAGTCATCCTGGAGATACGATAAATTAACATAGCGTGAACCGCGAAGGTGGCTCATCAAAACAACAAACTTAGCAAACATTTTGGTTGGGGTCTCTTGCAACATTTGTGATGACTAGTCGCTTTATCAATCCCATCGGTGGTCCCGATGTTGGCTTTCTGGGGTGGTCATTGCTGTCTTTGCTTCCACTTCACGCAATAATATGCCACTTGTGAATACTTGTGATAGATCTTGTTCGGTATATCAGATCGGAAAGGTGAACCAGTCGAAAGCCAGGCGTTATATAACACTTACTCAGCACATGTTTGGTCACTCAGCCTTGAACACATAGGGCACGGAACGCAATGGTGGCTGAAGCCGTGCCGATTGACCCGCCACACGATTGCCAGTGATGGCGGGGCAATCCTTGGTGGGCGCTCTCAACACCCCTGGACTCATGATAAATTCAATAAGTTGTGCAACCAACAAGGGTAATCGTGGATGGATGAGGATGAATAGACCTGAATGCAGCTACAGAAAAATGGAAGCATTGATTGACCCAGACCTGACTTCCTTGCCACGCTGATGGTGACCATCCAGTAAGGTCATCTTTCTTGCAAGGATGATTCGGGAGCTGATTCTGGAAAGAAAATCAATTGAGCCTCGCTGCAACCGCAAACTTCTCATTACATACAACAAAATAACAAGCCCAAAATTTTGGATTGCCAAGTGTCAACATCCGCCAAATATTCAGGAACCCAAAAGGTTGGTGACCCCTCTGTTTGCAAGGAAATATCACAAACTGCTCCACATCCTTCCAGCAGCCTTGGACGTAGCCTTGAAAAATAGAAATCCTCTGTGGCATAATAGGCTCCTTGTGCATGTTCCAGAATTTCCTCGGCCAAGTCTTGCAGACTTTTTGAAGGCATGGAAAAGATCATCTCCTGCCAGATTTGTATCACCTCCATAGGTGGCAGCAATGGAAAGCCAGTGGCATCCACCAAGGCCTTTGCTTCCTGCATCTGTCCCAGGATTTGCCGCAAGATCTGCTGGAAACGTGGCCAAATCTCAGCTATCCTGTCGGTCGCATCATATGAACCCATCAAAGCGACTCGCGTTTGCAGGGCTGCGCTGTATGCTGTGAGGGCCAAAAGGATGGAGATACTACCTCAGACAGGCATGGGCCAAGAGCGGGGGGCCAAGAACATTTGCCAGTGATTCAACAAATTTGTAGCAACTTGGTCTTCACTTTGCATTCAAACATGTCCTGACATCAAAAAATGAAACCCTGATTCCTAGGAATTCCCCTTGCAGCAAAGGTGCAGGCTTCCCGCACAAGAGTCCACAGATTTGATGGCTCCCCCGCCAAATTCAAATGGATTTCTTCAGCAACCCCATCAAATTCCTAGCGAATCAATGGGCGGTCTGACTTACTGGAACAAACCTAGCCAGTGCATGCCTGCTGTAGCCTTGTTCAGTCACTGGGTCTTACACCCGTTCCAAAGGAGATTCCGTTCCAAAGTAAGAAACATGTCAATTCCATTCTCATTCCTTCAGTTTTCCATCAACATCTTAGTAAGTCACCGCTCAAATAGGATCTCACTTGCCATCACAGCCAAAGCACCAGCTCGGGCATCCCTTCCATAATTTCTTTTGAGCGGTTCTGCGACTCCGGCCCAGTGGTGTCGGGGCACAGGGAGGTGGCACGGAATGGGAAATTGAACCACCTGCCAGGGTCACAACAAGCATCAGAATGGCATGAGAAAAGCGTATCACACTGAGCAGAACCCTGAAAAGCAAGTATCCCTTTCAAGTAGACAATCTCTTGAGATCTCTTGAGGTGCTTCTTCAAATGATTTTCTAACTTTCTGCCAATGATTGCTGCAAGGATTGAATACCACCTGACTGCACCGTCTTGGGAAAACCAGAGCACAGCTATCAGTTGGGATTTGCAATGACGCTCATCTAACTGGGGGAAAGGCATCTTTGGAATGGGGGGTTGAGCGAAACGCCATGTGCGGCCTGGGATCTTTGTCCACTTGGACTGCCAAGTGGGCATTGTGAAATATCTTGTCCGCAGGCCATTGCAAAGTTGTCAGCAAATCCCATTGTCCAGGGGAACAACACCTGACGCGCTGTCCCGGGTGATCCAAGTTGATGTGAACCACTTATTGATATCCAAGGTTTTTCATACTATATAATGAATTATTGGGAAGGATGAATACCCCAACTACGTGGGAGTCATGCTGAACGCATGGAAAAATAACTTGTGAAGTTGCTGTCTCAAAAAGATATGGCATAAACATTGCCTGAAAGTCCACCAACGTAGCTGATTTTCACCATGATTCACGCTGAACAGGTCTTTCACACCCTGGTTGTACAAACGTTTCATTCGCGGGTGCGCCCGTTTGGGGTCCAGTCATTTTCTAAAACCTGCTGTCCTGACCCAAAACAGATTATACTGGACGACATCATTCACTAAATCTGTCTGGGCCGATCTTTTAGGCTGCATGTCGAGTTCAGGCAGATGGCCTGCCATCATTGTGGGTAAAGTTGGAGTGGCTCCAATCCCGTGAGCACCCCATGCCCCCAAAATCAAGCAAGCACAGCGAACAACGCTGACCGAGTCACCGTTCGTAAGTGTCAAAGCTGTCCCAGCAGTCTTCGTTTCCCCGGTCTCCAAAGCGCTCATCACAGCAGAGCTGAAAAGAAATATCGCCCTTGTGGTAGCAGAGCTGCGTCGGGCCCGAAGGAGTGTCCACCCAGTAGGACTCTGGATGCCTTGGTGCTTCATTTGCTAAGGTAAGGGGTGAACTGATGGAAACAACAAGTTTGCAGAAGTATTAAGTAAAGCATTTGCATTTCCACAAACTGAGCTCACAAGGGTTCAAGGCTATACATGCCGTGGGCCAGCGGTGCTTCGCAACAGAATTTCGCGACCCTTTCCCGAAGTGGTCGGTGTCTCAAACTTGGTTCCCGTCTCCACCACATTTCCAGTGTAATCTATGATTTTTGACTTTTTGATTCATCTTCCAGCTGTTCACTCCAGAATTCATCAGTCTGAGGCACAAATGGCTCTTCTCAAAGGGCACCCGCGGGAAAAACGTGGCCGCGCAGTGTCCCAACAGCAGCCAGGCGAAAGCCATGCGGCCTTCATTGGCAGCGGATTTTGGAACAACTTTGCTACCTCCATTTGGAATTTGGTTTTACTAATTTTACGTATGACTGTGAGGCAACATTGAAGACAGGGCAGGCAAACAAAATGTTGTCTTTTGCTAACACTTTATACGACCTTAGAATGGGTTCTGCAATCGAAACTGCTGTGTCGAATTTGGGTCCGGTTGTGTGGCCTTAGCTTCTGCGATGCTTGACAACTGAAAAGCTGATCCCAAATTGCAGCCATATTCTCTCAGAGCAGTGGCTGCAACTCGCATGTAACTGCAAAATGTTTGTTACTAGTTAGTCGATCAGGGATTCTCATCTGCAGTGTAAACCCCATAGAATGGCCCTGTCATTGATCTACCTCCCTGGCAGTGCTCTGCATTTTTCACCATGATTCGGGCAGGAGCTAGATCTATGGCGCATTTCGCACCAGGCTGCGGCTGTAGCTGGGAACTTTCCAGGAATCTGACCAGGCAATGGAACTCAATTCGCTCATGATGATCCCAAATCACATTAAGAACCAGAGGAATGAAGGCCGAGGATCACACTTTCAAGGTAAGGGGTAGAAGCATATCAACCAGTGGTTTGACAACTTCCTTTGTGCTGCCTGTCCTTTAGATGTGTCATATGTACCTGAGCCTGGGCTTCACATCCAAGAAAATGCATTGTATTAGACTCTGACGCTCACCTCCCAGCTTCTGGTTGGCCACTTGTTGTGAAAGTTTCGATTCATCTTTCTATGTTTTCCCTTCTTGTTACAAGAGCAACCCAGCAACAGGAACAAAGGGTACGATGGTCGACTTCTCGGAAAGTGTTCCTACGTGGCCGGTCTTCGGCGCACACCGCCTGATGTTCTGTCATGTTTGGTCCATTGGTCGAGAAACACCCTTGGATGGAGGAAGCCACAATAAGATAAATGAAAATGAATCATTTGGTCTACTTTCGAATGGTTAACCTAACTGGAATCAACAACATTAATGGGATTAAGGCCTTAGTGGAGAAATTTATATCCCAATCGTCTAGTGTCCTCTCTCCACCTTGGCCCTCGATGTAGCGGCCCAGAACTGCGTAGCGGTGATGGCAAACACGGTCTCTTCCGCTTCAAGTGGGTCAGTGGTTATTTCCACCAACCCAGTGTCAGTCTGTGTCTGTTTGACAGTCATATATTGCTGGGACTTTCTTGGGGCTGAATACCGAATGTGAACAGAGTTGGCACCGGACCATGCAGTCACAGGTCACTGGTAATTAGCCGCCAAACCCATGGCGGTTTGTGATCACATCATGAAATAGTGTAGACATGTCTTGCTCAGAATGACTTGATACCGGAAATCCATACAGATTTCCCCCACCCATGGATGGACCCTCAAATTTTCGTGCCAGCTGAAGCATACCTTTGCTAGCTCCTTTGTTTTACAGATTTCCCGATGTTTGAAATTTTGGTGCTGAAAAATAAGCCAAAAAAACCAAGGCCTTGCTTCTGGTTGCTAGTCGTTGCTTGTTTGGTCAGGAAGGGACCGGTTCACCATCAACGACCAGTCGGACGGGATTGAGCCTGGCCTCAAGGCCCAGGAGCTGCTTGGTACACGGGGAGATATCAAATCTTTGACCATCGAGGATAATCCAAAGGATCCAAACCGAGACGGAAATCAACGCATCAGGATACAAACCACTCTCCAAGTGACCTTCGAGAGATATAAACGTCGCTGAAAATGTAGATATATAGTGGAGCTACGTTCTTAATCTTGATCCGTACCTATCCTACACCATTCTCAAAGGAGGGTATCGACAAAGATTGTATTTGGGAAATTTGGTGGGCCGCTTGAAAGAAAACAAAGATCCTAGCAGTTCAATGGACCCTATGAGACACCATATTCTAATGTTAAGCTTTCTTACCTCCTGGAAAACTCGACTTGAAAGACTTCGGAATCAAACCACCGCATGACAGCTACAACCGATATGACAACCATGGCAGGTGACTTCAAGTGCCACATAGAATGGCCCTGAACCCGACAGTGACGTAAGACTCTCAGCAATTTGCTTCTCTACCATGCAGCTCATGCTTTTGCTCGTACGTTTGCTCGCTACTGTTACTCTTGGCACTGGAATCTTCTTGCAAGCTGGATCAAGCTGATTGGAGCACGACACGATTTTCAGTGAACACACCTAAAGCGTTTTGAAAACTTCACAGCAAAAGGCTCATCCATCTGGCCCTGTGCCCGGTCCAGTTGCACTTCCAACGGAAAAATCCTTCAAAAATTTGAGATTCTCCCGCGCCGTGATTGCGCCATCAAAGGCGGTAGCGGAGGGAGTGATGGGGCGCTGCCCGACCTCAGCATCCAACTCACTCCCATCTGGAGGATATATGGCAATGTTTTCACCATTAGCATTAGCTTATGGATCTTGGTTTGGTGTGGTTCTGGGGGTTCAGGTGAGGGTTCCGGGTGGCTCCAGTGGTTTTGCGATGTTATGTACATACCTGTTCTAATGCGATGTGTATACATTTGACAGTAAAATGATGGTGGTTTTGCATTCTGAACTGTCAATGATTTGTCGGTCAAACTTCAATTGTGTTTTTTTTTGCAGAATAAATGCTTCCTTCTTGAAGGAATTTAGCTAAATGAAGGATTTAGCCTAGTAATTTAGAAACATGCTTTGAATGCGCTGCATGTCCTGTGGAACAAATTGATTACCGCGGCCTTGTCGATTCAAATTGCTTTCCCTCTCGCACTTTCCAGCTTCGCTGTTGGCGATACCACTTGGGTTTGTTCAGCCATCCCAAATTGGGTAAGTTTGAGCCATCCCGAACAGTTCCTGTGGAAGCAACTTGGACATTGGGCCCCCGGGCGTTCGCATTCCAGCAGGCACTGGCACGGAATTCGAGCCTGTCAAAGGGAGAGAGGATTGGCAGACGCCTGAAGCTACACAAAGGCTCCCGGTGATTGGGATAAATTCTGCACAGAACTTTCGTGATCTACCACATTGGTTGATTTCTTATCATTGCACGTTTTGGATGGCACCAAGTAGTGAAGCCTACTCACGGGTGCTCCGGTCAAACTGCAGATTGAGGGGCATAGAAACAAATAGCATACCAGTGCATGACAACAGTGCAATTACCTTCGGCGCAATCAATTGTGTTGCTTTTTACAAGTGCCACAGCCATTCCCCGCCCACGCGACCTGTAGGTGAAACACTACGAGCACCAGGACGGGTGAACCTGCGCCAGCAATATGCAAGGATGAATATTAAATTATTAAATGAACCTTGCAAGATGATTTCATACACAGGTGTTGCAGCTCTCAAACATTGGTTGCTTATACAACTTTTAAATGAAGAACAGCCAAGGATTTGTCATGAACAAACCAAAGCTTTTTTGGTTATACCATCATTCTTGATCATATTTTACCAGTATCTCCTTGAAATCCCAGCAGGGATCTTGGCTTGTCCGGGTCCCCCTGACACAGACGTCGAGGGCAGAGGCATCGCACCACCGTGGCTTTCTGGGGAAGATTGGGCCTGGTCATGGCCGTTTGAGGTTGGGTGGTTTGAATCGGGCTTTTGACCAAAGAGCTATGAAAACAAAGACGTGCGAACTCCAATACATATAATACATGGTAGAATTTCCACTTGGCTTGTCATCCAAACAGTAGATTTGTATGATAGTGTGCCACTATGCGCCATATATATATATAGTTATGTGCACGTCATATATACATATTCATATGCATGCGACTGAATCTTAGTGTTATTTCCATTGATCAATCAGTGTGTCGACTACCCATTATAGATTCTGGATGTTCTATTCTATGTATATATAATTACACAGTAAATATCTCTATTGAATGGTATTAAAGCACCATTTTAGCTGTTTAGAGTGTGTTTGGTTGATTGAACCAACCATCATCAATTCTGGGTTTACCGTTCTGAAACACACGCCTCTTCTCGGCGCCGATTGGCATAGCGTGCCGGGCTTCGCACGTAGCCACCATCGGGCTCCTGGCAGGGGAACGTTGGTGGGGTGGCTGACCTACGAATTTGGTTCCAAGAGGGGAATTCCAGGAGTGTAACCCCAAACAAAGCTACGGAAAGATCTGGTGGCGATGCTACCTAAGAAAAGGACAATTTTCGTTGAAAGCAAAGCGCTCTAGCCGCTAGCCTGTAGGGTATTCTCAGTATCTGTGTGATTGAAAGTGAAACAAAGGAAGATCATTTTCCTCACTGCCAGGCTATGGCTACGAGGAAAGGGAATGCAAGCGAAGTCTGAGGAGGGACTACAGGGGCAGCATCTCGTTGCCGCCATCATCTTTCCACTACGTCTTCCCAGCATGGAAACTTGATGATCATCGCTGTCCTGGCCATCTATGAATGATGGCCGACCCCGGCGTTTTCGACGCCTGGCGTGGGTCACTAGATATGATCCCTTATCCCAAGGAACTTAGCAACACCAGTTACCCCATCAACACTTCACCCACGGGGGCACGATACTGAGCCATTGTCTGCCATCTTCTTTATCATATCCCAAGCCTTCATTGGCATCTGTTTTTGCTGGTAGAATGCACCCAATTGATTTTGTACCAAGTGTAGCAATTGGCACTCACTGGCCATATTGAAAAATACTGAAATGCTGCAATAGGAGAGCAACGCGATGATCAGATCGTTCTCATACTAGCCAAGAGAGACTTTCATGCAGTTGTCTGGGTCCCAAACCAACCAAATGAAGTCTCAAAATTGACCCCCCTCTCATGCATGGTCAAAACCCTATTCGCGCTGACGGAGACTGACTTCAGGTCAATGAAACACAGGTTTTGCAAGAGCAAGGAGAAGCTTGGATTACAAACTCCGTTCCCATTTTTGAAAGTTTCACTTCAATTGGCAAATGGTCCGAAATGGATCGAGTTCAAAATGGACTAGTCTACTGCAAAAAATAGATCCATGACCAATTTTGTGGCTCCATCGAACCATCAGTTTCAACTACCTCAACCTATCCATTGATGGTTAAATGAGTTGGTTGCGCCGCTGTGCCTGTGATCCCAATCGATTTCGTGGAAGCCGCTGCTGGAGCCCTCGCCTTAGCATCAAGGGCAGACCATGGTGATGCACCGGATGGACTGTCGAGCAGTAAACACCGTAAATAATTTATGTCGTTTACATTCTGAATTTTGGTGGTTATGTTCAAGGTTTTGATGGTCATATCCCAGATTCCATCACAAAAGTTCCATGGCTCGCGCCTTCCAACATCTCGGCTTCGATCCCCGGGAGTTTTGGAGGGAGCCAACCTGCAAACCGACGGGCGACCGGTGCTGGACGACATGTGGTCAAAGAATGACCTGGATCTGTCTGCCCCAGCCTCCGGAAGGTAAGCTCAAAGTTTCTGGAAACTCTGCCATGAAGGCCTCGATCAAAAAGGTGCCAGGAGATTGGAGGTTTGTTTTCTGTTTATATCCGTCCTTGGTTCGGAAACCTGTACTTAAGTCTAAACAGGCATGTGAGAAACAAAGTGAATCCAAATCAACATCTTCAGTCTCGTCTCGTTTCTTGACATCTTGAAATCATACTTACCTTGCATTCTTCCCGGCCAGATCCCTCAAATCAACCTCCCACAGCGGTACCTTCATAAAATTGGCACATTTGTTGATGGTGACGGCGCCTCTCAGGCGACCGCACTGTTGTAAATTTTACCATGTGATCTTGAGTTGGTCTTAATGTTTTCATGTTGATTTGACGTGAATGTCTGGTTCTTGGGGATGTTCGTCCTGTTTCAACCGCTGCGTCAGAGCATGGGGTGGGGTGGGGTGGGGGGGGGATGGGGTGGGCTTATAACGTTCATGTCGGCTGCCGGAAGGATGTGATGCTACGGCATGCTACGGTGTGAAGATGTTGAAGTAACTTCAGGGACGCTCTGGATGCTACGTTGTGAAGATGTTGAAGTAACTTCAGGGACGCTCTGGATGCTACGTTGTGAAGATGTTGAAGTAACTTCAGGGACGCTCTGGATGCTACGTTGTGAAGATGTTGAAGTAACTTCAGGGACGCTCTGGATGCTACGTTGTGAAGATGTTGAAGTAACTTCAGGGACGCTCTGGATGCTACGTTGTGAAGATGTTGAAGTAACTTCAGGGACGCTCTGGATGCTACGTTGTGAAGATGTTGAAGTAACTTCAGGGACGCTCTGGATGCTACGTTGTGAAGATGTTGAAATAACTTCAGGGACAAAATTGGACTTGGCTTGGATTTACTGCAGGAACTTGGAAAACTCATGAAATCGATCGACAAGAAGATCGGATACTGGAAGTGAGCAGACCGCAGATGTAAAAAAGCTTCGAATGTGTTTCGGGAATATGTTTTCGAAATCCATTTTTTCCAAAAATCGCGTTTTCGCTACAGCGAAAACGACACGAAGTTAATTTTGAGGCGCGCCTCCAATGTTTTTGAACCATTTTTTAACATCGATCGAGCAAGGTTCATGAATAAAGTCCTGCGTTTTACAGGGAATTGTGCTTTGAACCTCTAAAACGACCTCTGAAAAACATGAAAGAGCGCGGTCGCTCCACAGGCGCCGCCACCTTGTTGATACAGCTGACTAAACTTGAAATTTGCAAATTCTCCAATTCTCAAGGCTGGCATCCTTTGTTTTGTTGGGCTCCCACGTTATCGTTGAACCCCCACAGCTTGTAGCCTTCACAAAGGGCTCGTCTACCACAGCAGACATGGCTGGTCGCCTCAATGGGTCCTGAAGGTCGCTGTCTGATCCAAGGAGAATGAAACCGTCAAAGAACTAAACCGATGTCACCGTCCATTGAAAACATGATGCAAAATCTCGTAGAAAAAACTGAGATGTGATATAAAGTTAAAACAATGAGAAATTTATTCAAGTTCAGCATGGTTACGGGAGGGGTACATACGACTTAGTGAATCTCAAGGAAAATGATGCTGGTTTTGGATCGCTGGGAGAAAGATGGCTTTGGACTTGTCAATCTGAGGCAGCAAGTGTCCCATAGGATGTTGGCATGGGTGAAGAGCAATGTTTTCTTCAGAAACTTGGGAATGCACAAATGCCTCTGAGTTCAGATGAAGGACAATCCCTACTGCACACTGGTAGTGATGGAATCCTTTGGCACGGAAGTACAGACTTCTTCTGCTTCTGATGAGTTGTTGCATAAACCCGACATATCCGGCAACCATTCAACAGTAACGGCCCCCAAATGCCTTCTGCAACAGCTGATTCACCAAAGCATGAAGGTCCGAACCTTGGGAACAGGAGCCGTCACGAGCATGTGGCCGTTGGGCGACAAGGAGCACCCTGTCGATCGCCTGTTGGGACTATCCCTGCTTTGGGCAAATCGGTGCTTATCCCTGGGTGGTTTTGACAGGTAGAAGTCACAGGCCAGTCATGTTGTCGAACAAAACTTTTGGATTTCCATATAGCATACTGTAGCATACACCATGTCGCACTTACAAGGGGATTGGTATAGTTAAATGGACACTAAACTACCATTATTCATTGGACAAACCTTGTCCCACTCGCTGGGTCGTCCAACTGAAGTCTTCGGGCAGTGGCTTGAAGTCCATCGTGCAAATCTGCAAGGCCATGGCTGGAAGATTGCTCGCTTGGAAAGGCACCTGCCCAATCGGTCGATGCTGGGAATGGAAAGGTACGTTGTATCTGGTGAACATGGCTGTGGGTTTGTGTCCCATTTTTTTTGGTCGGAAATGAATTTCTTGGTGACCCCTGTCTTGCGATTTGCCTTGGAAATCCAGCCCAAAGAAGGCTCAGTTGGTTTTCCAGCGCACCAGTCTGCCACGCCTTCAAACAAGACATCTCGTAGAGGACCACCCCCAGAGACCAGACATCAGCCTGGCAAAAACACATGGATCATCAATTGGAATGAAGATTTCTTCTAGGTTTTCCAGCTACACAACTGATCCACTGTGAGAACATGACTCGGCAATCCCCCATATCTTTGGCCCTATTTGATTTTCCACTAGCTCTTCCTTTGTTTGGGAACGGAAAATCAGGACTGTGACAGAATTCAAAGGTTCCACTCCGCCAAAGAGGTGGATCCCTGCCTTGACCCCATATGGATTGTTTTTGCAAATCTCTGGCGAGAGATATGAAGGCGTCCCCACGGTGGAGTTGGCCTCGAACACTGGGGTCCAAATCAGGTGATCGACTATCTCTAAGTAGATCGTCTTTGCTAAGTGTGAGCACTCCAAACGATTTCCACTACGGGATTTCTTCCAAAGTGATGTAGAAGTCTTCCACCCCAAGCAAAACTGGCGTCAGAAAATCGCCCAAAATGGCCAGAAATATTACCCAGGCTAGTCGGTTTGGTAGTTGCCATATCTTGATGGGTGAACCGGGTGAACCCTGACCTGCCTGTCCCATAGTCCCTTCAACCATCTTGGCAATGCCGAAGTCACCTCACAAGAAAGGCACGAAAGGCATGGCAATGGTAAGTCACTAACAGTCAGTAACAAGGTCTGGACAGATTGATTGCAACAGTTGGAGTTCTATGTGTACATTAATGATCATTAATGTGCATGTGTATTATCTATCCTTTTATTCAATGTCTGCTGACTTGCCACAAAGGGGGAAGGAGAGCTGCCAATGAAATCAGTGACAGCAATCAAGTGTTCGAAGCCCACCCGGAAAGTGAAGCCGGCAATTTTTCTGAACAGCTACAGCGGCTATCGCGCCTACAATACATCTGAAATCCACATTAAGCACCTACTCAGGTGGAACCAACTTTGATAAAAACCAACGATTGCTTTGGGATGGGCATAGGATTTCCCTGCAGCATCGCTGTATCTGGCCGGAAACCATTGCATCCCAAGGGGCCGAGTTTCACAGTGCAGCAGCTCAAATCTCCCTGCGCCGTGTGGTCCAATGGTATGGTATAATCCACTGAAGTAAATCCACTGGATGGGTACCTCTGAGACAATCAAGATCTAGAGATATCTAGAGTTCGGATGAACTTGGGTGACTCCTCTCAAATCATCTGCCCAGGCCTCTCCAGCGATGAAAATATTCGCAGGCTTCAGGTCGCGGTGAACGATCTTCCTAAAGGCAGTCCGGTAGTCAGGTAGCCGTTGGAGCTGGATCCAAATGATTCTCTCAAAGGTTTCTTCAAGACAGCAACACGGGTCTTTCCAAGTGCAAAAAATGATGCTTTCGCAAATTACCCCATTGGTCATGTCGGATTCTAATCATCTGGGGATGAGTCACCAGACCAACTGGTAGGGGTATCCATTTACGTTAATTTTACCATCGATTTTCTTGACCATAATTTTACCATTGATTGAAATTTATCCATTTAAACCATCCATAGTTGGTTGATTGAATCATGAAATCATTCCATGCTGGATAGTTTGGCTGATTGGCAAACTTAAACTTGTTTTTGATGGATTTTTTCATCAGCCACTTCACTTGTCCACATTCTGGCAGCTGGGCTCCCCTACTGGGAGTGGATGTAATGTAATGCACTACTCACTTGCGCAAAGACCTCAGCAGGCCGAAACTACTCCAGAATATATAAGGGGGAGGAGGTTTAGTATTAGGGAAAAGGATTAGTCAATCCATGCCGCATCTTATAAGATATTGCCTTCATTTGCACATCTTTCAACATAGGATCGGTGTCAATTGCAAAGTTAAGCCTCACGCGCCTCGTTTTCTATCTCAGGTCTCGACAAATGCCAACATTTCCCAAACCTGAACTATATGATCATGATTACGATTTTTCTAAGGGTTTTCACCGCCATTTCGGGGTGATGTCCCTTCAGGATGGGGCCCCCAAGATAGCTAAGTTGAGATATAAGTGGCTTAACTATGGTTTATGGTAGATATTACTATAGTATTCATGGGGTTTATAAATAAACTTATACTTGGGGGGCACCATCCTGTTGGGGTTAATGGAGTTTCCCTTCAGCAGCAACTTTGCCAACGGCAAAGACCCCAATGGGCCCCGTGACTCGCATGATCACGGCTTCGGTGAAGCGGACCCCTTCAGTCTTCCGCGCCTCATGGGGGGAAACCAACCATCATTGGGGATGAGAAAGGCAACCATTGAACAACCATTTTAATGGGAGTTAATGGGATATTTAATGGGATATATTAACCTTTAGTCATATATGGGATTAACCATTACTTCTGCTATATAATACCACTATTACTAACCATTGGTTATGTAATACCACTATTAACTTTGATCTTGGCAGCATAAGGGTGCGATCAAAACCAACAGGGGATAAAAAACCGGTAACAACATATCTGATAACAAAACAATTCATGAAGGGAGAAAAGAAAAACATATCTTGACTTTTTTGTCCTTGCTCAGTGTGGATGATACTGTATGACTGTAGGTCATTTCGCACAACATGCTTAGCGGCTTGCTTTTCACATCCCCCAGAATTCCCAATATTGATTTCAAGTAGGGATCTTTGTGTGGAAACCTGATGTGCGTTTGACCCCAACGGTTCCAGTGTCTGAGCGTGGCACCTGTATTCGACGCCCTAAGTCGCCCCCAGTAGCATATTCCATAACAATGTACAGCATGTCCATTTCCTGACACAGCGACAGAGCGTTGACTTTGGCATGGGTGGATCCCATGAAGGTTGGAGAAGTGATCCGGCGATGGCAGAAACAATCCAGGGGCTCAGTTGGCCAAAATGAAGGAAATCATCTTTCAGCAGATTGGATCCCCGAAGCTCAAACGAACCCTTAAAAATCCTGTCAGCTCTCCACGAGCAGCATACAAACTTGGCATGGATAAGGCTTCATTTGGGACAATAACCTACACTTGTGAGATTGGCTTCATGTGGGACATATTCAAACGCCAATACTGTTCGAAGTAGATGCAATGTCTGTGAACATCCTACAGCAAAAAAGTTAACTTTCCACCAGCCCCAAAATATTCCGTCTTTCGGTGACAAGTCACTACAGCCAGCGATCCGTGCCTCGAACACGTCGAGGCAGGTCACAATGTGGTCGTGCCGTAGCTCCCTCAACAGTCGACCTCGGTCGTGTGAGCCACAGCCAGTTGCGATAACCAGAGAGACTTCAAGTGTGCCATGGCCCATGGTATGGCATGGTCATCCATCCCAGAATGGGAATCCTTATGGGTATGCAGATAAATCCAAATTAATGGATTGATGACCATTCCTCAATTTGGCAAAAAATAGCCAATGTTTAGACAGTGGCACATCTGCAACCCAGACCCGAGAATGCTTGGATCTAGTGGAAATGTTTTGGTCCAAAGTTTATGTTGCGATTCCACACTGGAGGTGTTGAAACTTGCTTAAAGCTATCATTTATATTGAGAATGTTTATTGCCATGGTCTAAGATGTATCAATAATTCCACAACTGGAGGTTTAATCATTGAATTTACCGTATGAATTAGTTAAATCATCCTTGGTTGCCAAAGCACCAGCGACCCATCCACCATCCTATCAGGTGCTGGGTTCCCTGCTCTCTGCGAAGGCCTGCCCGCAAGGAATTCTGACCCGTGATATCTTGACATATTAATGGGGATATCCTTGGGGACTTTACTTGGGTTTTGTGGGGATAAAATTGGTATACAATGGGAATATCATGGTATATAGATCAATGGCCATCTTAGGAACTTAAATTGGAGGTACCTACCATATATAAGGCCTATTTTTTAGGCCTATGTAAGGGAATATCCCCACAAAATATGGCCCAAAATATGGTACTAACGTACCTCCAATTTAGGATCCTGAAATTCCCATTGATATTAGGGACATGTGAATAGAACTTCTATTATACAAACAGATGGAGCATCATTGGGGAAATGGAAGGGGAAATAGACATTGTCAATTCCAATCAATTCCGATGTTTTTAGTGTCTTTTCCCTCATCTTCATTCCTTCTTCTATCTGTTTCGGATGGTTTCGGGGAGACCTCAGCTGGTCTACCCCGTTGGGTGCCGTTGCGCCTCTCGTCTCCGCTTCTCTTCGCATCGCATCAAGCAAATTTCCTGGTCAAGGCATGTCCGCCACTCTATGACACCGATGAAAACATTCATATATTACCAGGGATGTCCAGTGGTTGAAGGGATATATATATATTTAATATTAATAACAAATAATATATAAATGTATATTCCCAATCATTGTATTAATACATTAATATACGAAAGAAGGTGAAATGGAAGCAATCGCTACTGAAAAAAAATGCCATCCATCAGCAGGTCCTTCAAATTTCAACAGGTCCTGAAGCAGATCAACATTTTTGATGGGAAAACCATGAAATGCCGGTGCTCCATGCGATGCCTTGGCCACATACTCGACCTTTGGATCCTTCCTGGGTCTAACCACAAACCTTGGTCCGCTTGAACTGGTGGGAAAATCCGTCAGCTCCATGGGTTGGTCTATCTGGGAACACTGTGATCACAACACGTCACATGAGTGTTTGGATAAGAGACTTTCATGCTCTGTGGCTCAACCTTTGAAATCTGAATCTCAGGAGCATTTTGGGAAGACGCATCTGAGCTCTCCCGACGCTACGCCAGAGGCGCCTCGCCCCAGAATGCTGCCTTTGTCGTAGGTCGCCTCCCGGATGGCTTTGGTTGAAAGATTCAGGTTTGGCTATGGTCTCTACATAGGAAAGAGAAAGGAATCCAAGATGGTAAAACGGTAACACCTATAGTAGAGAATAAATCATAATATTCATCTTTTCCGAGAGCACTTGGATACAATTTGAATAACCAGGGTCTGGGGGCTTTCGAAGAAAAGGTTCCACGTCGCCCATATACTGTCTGCAGCTAACTCTGAGAGGTTCTGAGCGGTTCCATGTGGCCCGGCCCGATCTAAATTTTGAGTTGACATCAACACGAGAAGTAACATCTTGGCTGCTGTTGGAGTCCTTTTTTTGTGAGCTGCATCTACCAAATCTACCTTTTTCGCAGCCCATTTCCTGATGCTTGGATGCTGCCTCGAATGAAGCGCCAGGGGAAACAGCATGACCTGCGAAATCACATGGCACTGCTGGGTATCTGGGAAACCGCAAGGGAAAGCATTCTTCCAGTGTCACAACTTCGGGCTTTAAGTCCTTTGGAACTCTGCAAATCTATGCAAATCTGAAGGTTTCACCTTGATCCTGGAACCGGAGAAGCTGAATTCTTCGGGTTTCACATGGTTTCCTTCCCATGTCGCCACTGGGCCACCTGGAAGTGGAAGAGGCGCTAGTGGCGGTGAGCTTTGGCCATAGCTTCTGCCCCCCGGTCGGCAGGTGCTGCCAAATGCCTTGCCACTCGAGCATTCTTTGATGTGGATCTACCTGTTTGATTTTAGTGTAGCTTGGATCTACAAACACTTTCCAATCTAAGCAAATGTGGAAACCATCCTTGGACCCACCTAAGTTGAGGTTCCAAGAAGCAACGATCATGATCCCTGCACCATGACAGTGATGTGGGAAAAACGACCTGCCTATTCTTGATGATTTCAACACCTAGTCATCCTCTGGTAATCAAACATGGCAACGGGAATTTCCCCCCTTCAAGATGAAACTAACCTATTATTAGCACATCACAACAATGGGTCCATTCTGGTGGCGACAGTGCGGCCATGAAACAACTGCAGTGGAGGCGGCTGCAACTGCAACGGGGAGATGTGGCGGCAGCACCGTCGCCTTGGTGGATCAGAGGGGTGAGAACCGATTCGAACAGATCTGTGGAGTATAGGCCAATGAAAAGAAAAGAACTTGAATCCCCCAATTCTGAGACAGACCTGTGCTTGTTACCCCCCAAGTTTTGCTGGCTACAGCCCAAGTTTTGTCCAGGAGGCCGTCTTCTGCAGCGGGTCCGCCAGCCTGTAGCAGTGAGTTCCCGTTCTGAACCTACTGAACCTACCATTCAGTTTGTACCAATAGGTATTGGGAAAATACCAACTATGCATGTTCGGGATAGTAACCAGCCAGAATGTTCCACAAGTCAAACGCTCCAGCATCTGCAAATCGGGCTTCAACAATGGATGGCAGCATGGAAATTTGTTGAGTCTGTTAAGTACTCACTATGGACATGCTCCAGTTCTTGTTGTTGCACACAGGTTTCTGTTTAATCCGCTATTTTTTGCTTGTTTGTTGCCGACATCTTTCATGGTTATGGGGTTATCATTGGTTATCAGTTGTCCCCTGTATATTGTGTTGCTTACATCCCAATTCCCAAGTTTGGTTGGATGAAGCGGCGCGGCCTGCCGCCCTGCCTGAACTCCAATGGCTAAGCAGCCAGGCCGTTTCAGCGGCACGTGCCCCCGATTGGGCCCAACGAGCTGTCACAAAACTGGAGAGCTGGAAAGTCCACCAAAAAGTCCACCCAATTAGCTAATCCAAAGGAACGAGGCTCCAACCCAATGGAAGTGTGCGAACTCAACTCACGACTTATGAAACTGTGCATGGATTTTTGCTTTACCCAATGTTCACTCTTGTTTTGCGGCCTTGTGGTATCCTATTTTGATTGCCCCTACTGCCCTTGGATTTTCTGAGAACCACAGCTGCACGAACGTTCATTTTCAAACCAACTCCTGGTGTCAATTGCAGCACGCACCACCAGTTCCCGTTCCTCGAAAGAACAATGAGGTCTGCTAAAACCATTCATTGAACCTGCGCTTGGTTGGGATACAAACATGTGTACCAAGGCACACTTTACATCCGCCTGGCTTCCCTGCTCCTTAGATAGACTATGTGGATCTATGTGGTGGGTAACTTTCCCAAATCTTCCAGCATTGACCAGCACCTGTTGGTAGTAACTCAGAAATGGCCTTGTCCTGTCCGGAAAATCATGGAAGATGCCCCCAACTCACCATGGCTTTGTGGAAACCCAAACCTCACATCACCATCGCCAGTGGCTTGGCCACTGGAAACCGCGGCCACCTGTCTCGGACAGGTTGGGGCGCGGGCAAAATCGAAGCTCTAAAACATGGTAAAAACGGGGGTCACTGTGGGTCTTGGCAACTGGAACTGGTGTACCTGACATCGTACCTAGCCTAGATTCAAATCTAAAGAAATATGCGACAAGTACATTTTGAGAGAAGAGCTACACAGCTTGGGCAAGGTTCAATTATCAATGTTTCTTTGTATCTACACTTGGCTATCATGGAGCCCTCAAGTCACTTGCCCCATGAATCCACCCTGGAAATGATGAAGTTTGGGGTCTGGGCGTATAGTGCAATATGTTGTAATGGTATGCACTGCATCTTTATGGGTTACATTCAGAACATCGCCACCAGTTCCAGTTCCAAGTCCATCTTCGATCTGCTTGGCAGGCTTCGACACAACCCCTCGTTGCTTCATCGGGAGCGCCCCCCCCGTTCAAAAATGGCTTGTTCCAAGCTACACAAGCTCAAAAAAGCCAACGAATGTGGCACTTGCTCCGAAAAGGCGTATCATTCTTCTGCAAATTTGCATGATTGTTTTCTTTATCGTTGAATTATACTGAAGTGAAGCACTAGTCATGGTCAGCCATAAGTTAGAGTGGGTTTCCCGAGTTTTTTCGTTGGCTCAATCCCATTGGATCAACGCTCAGTAACTCATGGGTGATATTCCCAATGGATTGTGGGCCAGATTCCAGTTTTGGTTGGCTAAATTCCCTAATCTCGTGGATTTCCTCAATTATCCACAGTATGAAATCTGTTTCCGCACTTTGGTTCGTTGAATTCACATTTATCCCCATTGATGGTTGGGGTTTTACCCCGTATGCCTGTTGATGGTTTGTAGTTTGCTGGTGATGTGAATCTCCGGAGAAAAAAATGTCATGGCATCAGGGAAAAACATGGTTCAAACCAGCACTTTCTCACTTTACCAATCGAAAAACGACATGATATTTTGGTCGTCGAATATATTTGGTCCGGAGTTCAAAGGCCATATCCTGGTTGAAAACCAACATAGCTGGTAAATGGGGGTTCATCTCCTCAACTATATGGTTTTATTGAAGCTTAGCAGATTTTGACCATAGCCATATGGTACCCTGAATATTCTCTAATACCCGGATAGATTTTCATTGGGTAAATCCCAAATAATTCAATAGTCGGCTTAAACCACCATTATGTAAGCGATTGATGTTTATAGTAGATATATTTATAATCCACTGCGCTATGGTTCAATGGCTTAACCCACACCCCACACTTTTTAGGTCGAGGATGAATCCAATGGATTCATAAATTCACTCATCCATTGAAGTGGCTTCATCCCATAATAGTGGGTATTAGTGAATGTCCATTAATATATATCAAATATCTATTGTATAATGTATATATATATTATATCATATACATGTGTATATATATATATATATTGACAAATCTTATATCCATATATCACCAGAATATTTCCCTATCCTTTGGAGCCGTCGCTCACAGTGCCATCTGCATCTCCTTTCGTCGCACGAAGTGCGCCAGCTGCGCCACGCTGGGTGCCCCCGAGATCTCGCGCAGGCCGCGGCGGTCCGAGAGCCTGCCATGGTGAAATGCTGATCTCGTCATGGCCCATAGAAATAGATGGTTTACCGAACTAAAAAATGGTGATTTTCCGTGGCTATGTTAGTCATAACCAGAGGGTATATATAGATATTAGTGACCTGATATACAATAGTGACATAGATATTATTGTGATCATGTATATTAGTGATATGATATATGATATAATATACAACTATTGACTATCACTATAGTTAACTATCACTATATACATTAACTATCATGGATATAGGCTATATACATTAACTATCACTATAACTATCACTATAGTTATTCAATGTATATAGTGAGAGTCAATGGACAAACATCCATGGATTATCTACTATAGTTAACTATGGTGGATGTTTATAGTAGATATATCTATAAAGTAATCCCCTCTGGTAAACTAAGAGTTTGCGAACTGGAAAATCATCATGTTAAAAAAACGGTAAATCAACTAATGTTGTCTGACCAATAGTGATATCTTGTCAGTAGTAGAAACATTTTTCCGCAACTCCAATTTTTCTCCAATACTAAAAGTCAATTAGCTCTATTTACTTTTAGTATTGCCAAAAGAGTCATGTTCAGACCTTGTCCAGAGGGCATGGCCAATAGTGGACCCAACATGGCAATAGTGGAAACTTTTTTTCCAACTCCAATTTTTTCTCCAATACTAAAAGTCAATTAGCTCCATTTACTTTTAGTATTGCCAAAAGAGTCAAGTAAAGCAAATCCTTTTCAAAGCAGCCTTCACTTTTGATTAGCAAAAGCTTAGATTCCAGAAATCTGATCGAATTACCAAACAGCTGATTTCCTTATAAAACCCTTTTTTTAAAAAAAGCAGGAAAACAGGTCCACAAAGGGTACCCCCTTTGCAAGCCCCAGAATAGCAATAACAAACCTGCACCAGGCATGGCAATAGTGGAAACTTTTTTCCGCAACTCCAATTTTGTTGCCCTCCTTCTCCTTCTCCTTCTCCTTCTCCTTCTTCTCCTTCTTCTCCCCCTCCTCCTCGTCCTCCTCCGTCGCCTCCACCACCTCTGCCCCCACTTCCATGATCCCAGCTATAGATCCCACAAATTGATTATTATAGGAAGGTTGACCACCCCCCCTAAAATTAAAAAAAAAAAATAGGGGGGGGTATTTATTATTAGGCAGCCAACATTATAACTCAATGGGCCATGACTTCAATAGCTATGTAAGAAATCACCAGCAGGTATGGATTCAAACCACTAAAAAGCTAGGAAGATTGGATTTTGAGTTTCTATCAGAATTCCCGAAAGATATGGGATTTTCCAATGGGTCTAGTGGTTGGTGGTTTCAACTCCAAAAAAATGCTGGTCATTGAGAATCACCATCCCATTTCTATGGTTGAATATAAGTATTTGAAACCACCAACTGTGGACAACATCGAAATTGACCAACAAAAACGGGGAATAGGATGGTCAAAGCATCAAAAATTGGGGCTTTTTGGGCTGGTTTGCACTTGGTTTTTGATGCTGAGAAACTTGATGCTCTTGCTGCCATCTGGATAGACCAGGTGAAAGAGCACCGAGGAATAGGTGCCGGATCCCTCGAATTCCACCTGGCCGCACTCCTTCCGTTTCGAGGACAGCGCCTTGGGAAGAAAACGCAGCTCTCCGGCATTGTCGGTTTGTTTTTTCGCAGAGGTTGGACTTCTGCGGAACCCATTTTTAAGCTTTCCATTTCGTGGGAGTTTTAAAGATTGGCTCATTTTCACAAAGAATTCCTTGGGGAACAAACTGCAAAACGGCAAACTTGTCTGGTATTCCCACCTTTTCAACACTCTGAGGCGGGACCCAAAGAAACGGAACTGCCGTGGCCAAGTATCGACGGTTCCTTCTTCGGGCACTGTACGAGGCTCCTGGAGGCACCCCATGTGGTGGTGCCGCCAGTAAAGAAATATCGGCCAATGCGGAATTCAGGGAGTAACCATACTGAAAAACTATGAGAAACGCATAGAATCACATAGATCTATCTTTAAAGCTCACCTACCGTACACCACGTGAAAAAAAAGTCGTCCAGTTTGTGATACTTTCTTTAGGCCAACTGGCTGTCCTCCATGACAGACACATACGGCAAGAGCTCCAAGTCCTCAAAGCTCTTTCCAGGCAAACGAAGCCATCGATCTGCGGCTTGGAGCTTGAGGTTCCCATGGGTCGTTTTCGAATCCCGTGGTTTCTGGTTTCGGTACCCACAACACAATGATCTGGGCAATTCTACCCAATTTTTTCGAAAAAAATGCAATTTTACCCTATTTTTGGGCAATTCTACTCCAATTTTTGAACATATCTTATCACCTCATGCTCCACAGGACTACGCCTTGCGTTGGGACTGGAACACCTTCCAAAGGGACCAACCGATGAACATGACAAACGTTCTTTCGAATACTGGGACACGCAAAGCTCGCCAAAGCCGTCCATTTCAGGTCCTTGACGTTAAACACCCATCTGTTCTCCCGGTTTCATCCAGAGTTTCTCTTTAACAAATGAAAGTTGGCGAGTTGGATTCAAACTTCCTTGGCTCAATCCCTTGTTCAGATAGATTGTTCGGCCACCTGTTCCTTCAAAGTCCACCACCGCAGCATCGCTTTCGTCGATGCGACGCACCAAACCCACGGTCTTCGGAGCCACGGACTTGGCGTTCGAGTCAAATCATGGAATCCAACATGTCTGAAGTCTTTGAACATTGAATGAACATAGATGGACTTTCTCATCTTTCTGATGCTCATTTTTTATCCATCTTTATCAATCAAAGCAAATCTGAGTTGGTTGGTTTTCGTTGGAAAACTGTTGATCAATAGTTCGGCGCAAATGGTCACGATTCATGCATGGTAACTATAGTACGAAGCAGAATGATCGAATCCAGCACATCTGAAACAGGTACCAAAGGAGCCACTGACTTTTTTGGGTTGCCCATCTTGAGTCCCAACTGTATCACTAGATGAATTCATCGATAATTTTCCTATGAAGAAATGGTTCCAGTGGGCGAAACTTGAACTCCCTGGGGGTCAACTCTCTCCGCACAATGGCATCCAAGGTGCAGTACGGCCCTTGACGAGCTCTTCACAAGTCCTAGTGGGAGTGCATATGACCAATGTAGAGAAATATTCAGCAACTCACACGAAAATAGATAAAGATATATCAAGATATGAGCCAAAAACCCTTGGCGAAATGGGTGCCAAAACTTTTCTGAGCCCCTCTTTCATCTGGGGAAACCATGGGACATCCTTTCCTTCGTGGATGTGTTGGCATTATTGGAGAGGGACATTGAACATTCTTTTTTTAAGTGAGTAGCCCCGTTAGGAGTAGCCCAGGGCTCTTTAATGATAGTGGGTTCTCAAAGCTTTCTGAGAGTTTGACTCCGTGCAATTAATCCTACCGGCAAAAAAAACATTGAGTTGCTGGTGTGGTTGGCCGGTATCCCTTCCTCACTTTCATCACTTTACTTCCCCCGGTTCAAAAATGCTCCCAAACCCACCGAATTATCCCTATGGCGCATGCTCGTTGGCTGCGGGACATAATGGGCCATATCTTGAACGGGCACTGGGGATATTGGGAAGAGAGCCCTGTTTACTGTAAAGTTCAAATGAACAATGGTCAATGAATGAGACTTTGATCATCCAACTGCTGATAGTCGCTGGAAACATTTGTACAACCCTGAAGAAATATCATGATTATCATGGTTGGATAGTTGGATTGCATCCTTATTTTTGATGCGGAAAATCCCTATATCATATACATACATATATATATACATACATACATACATACATACATATATATATACATACATATATATATATATTTATATACACATACTTACCCAATCCAAATGGATTCAAGAAACCAGCCCTGTCCTCACCAACTGCCCTCGTCGTAGAGACGGACCATGCCAGGGTGTTAGGGCTGGAACCAGTCGAGCTTCGTCCAGCTGCAACAGCATGGGCCTAGCGGCACGGAGGTGAAGCTCCAGGCGATGTTGGGTGACTGGTTGGTGGTTTCAACCATCTTGATATGGTTAATCAACTATAGTTATAATATGGTTAATCACTATAGATCTATAATATTGGTTGGTGGTTTCAACTCCTCTGAAAAATATGAGTTCGTCAATGGGAAGGATGACATCCCATATATTATGGAAAAAATGTTTGAAACCACCAACCAGAGGATTTATAGACAATTAGTTTTTTTGTTTTAACAGCTGTTGGGTGATGTATAATAGACCACACTCTATAAATCATAAAGTCATTAAATCATAATTTCATAGACCACAACTGTTGGGTGATTTATAATTATGGTTTATATAATCTATATATCCCCAAATGATTTAGAATGATTCAAACATGACCTATTACAGATTTATATCCTCAAGCACTGGTTGACATCGCCGAGCCACAGATAGCTGCCATTGGGCAGCCGAAGCCAAGCGCCTTCATCGAAACCTCGGGTGACCTCGGCAATGCGGGAGGTCAGATTTACTGCACATGGTCGAAAAAAGTGTAGTATACAGTATAGTAGTGATATATAAATATAGTATAGTAGCATGTTTCTATGTGTCAATTTTTATAACTATATTCATATTACTTTAGCCATCTTTAGCTAGATGAATGCATAATATGTCTACATGCATAAGAAAACGCTTGGTTGAGTACTTGGAGGGTCCATCTCAACAGCAAATTTGTCCACGGAGACTTGATCGAACATCCGAGGAGCATCACCCTCCGAAAATTCTCCTGGATTCAAGATGAGATCAAAGGAATGGGTCGAAATACATCGAAATGTGTCGACCGATGTTCAAAAAATGAACCTACACCACCTTTTAAGAAACCTTCGCCATCCATCTCTTTCAATCTTGTTCCTCCCATGGAAGCCGTTGGGAATCCATCTGTCCTCCACTCTGTGCGCAGGCATCCACTGTCATCGGCACTCTGGGCGCCTCGCAGCAAGTGTCCAGTGCTGGGAAGGGGCGCTTGGCACGGCGCTTCCAGGTGGAACCGTTCAGCAAATACCTCATGGCCAGAGACCCCTGGAAGCATATCTCTTGGGTCGAATGGTCGAATGCTAAAAAAAGCGCTGTGAATCGTGAGGAATATTGAGAGATGCCGTTTCTATCTGTTTCTTGTCTTGGAAGGTTGGCCCCATTGGATACTTCAAGGTTGGTAAGGACGAAATCCTCACACCCAAGCACCAAGATTAACATCTTTGGAATCCATAACAAGCGCATATCTTCCCCAAATTCCACTATCGTATGCATCTTTGGGGCATGAAACTAAATGAAACTCCTTGCTATGGCATGGCTTGTTCCGCCCTTCCATCTCAGCCAGGACCAGTTGCGACCTTTCCGCGACACAGCAGCTGGCAAACTGCGAAAAGGTCTGGATCACCAATTCTCCCGCAAACCTTAATTCTCAGGATGGGTAAGAGGCACATGCCAAATTAAAGGAACACTCCGAAAATCTGAGTGGCGTCTTTGATACCGGTCTAGAAACGCCATAATGGGCATGTCCTGAAACTGGCCCTTGCTAGAAATTCGACCAAGTGCCAATGATTTGTCAGTCCTGGGCGATGCCTCATCAATCGACCATCACTGCTCCGGAAGCCCAACACTTTTCCTCTCACTGCCGCTGGGCCACTGAATGGTCACGGTTTCTTCGTCGACACTTTCCAAGGTGCCTTCTTCACCTGGGGATGAGGGTGTTGGATGGTGTTGGGCTATCATCTTTGTGTGGGTGCAACTTTTGGCTGATCTTTCCCGCCAGGCTTCATGAATCAGCTTTTTTCTTTTCCCAGGCTCCAAGTTGGAGACAAAAACATTCTTTTAAGAAAAAACTTAGACATCTCTAATCGCAAAAAATCCTGCCGACAATCCACTTCCCCACAACTCGCCTTGTCGTAGCATCCTGCCGGAATCGATGGCGAAGTCTTCCTTGACACGGACTTTGCTTCCCAAGGGAGTCTGCCGCACCGTGCCTTCGTCCACGGCCCTCAACTCAGGTGGCTCCGGAAGGCCCAGGCAACTTACCAGCCGCCTGGCCAACGGCAACGATTTTTGGGCCAAAAACGCCATTTTTTTTGAGAGACATGGCATGATTTTCAGGAATCGTTGAAGTCTTGGCGACAACTCTGGTGACATATTGCTGTCAGCGATGGCCTGAATCTTGCCTTTGAGTGTACCCATTTTCTACACAGATTGGAGTTGTCATTTCTTGAATCTGTTCACAAGTCCCACCATGAAGACCTTGACACCTTGACCACCATCGTATGTTTATCGCTGAATCAGTTGTGGCCTGGCGGCATCCCAATGTTTGCGATCCAAGGCCAACTTCAAGGGACTGTCGCCGTCAGCATCAGGCAGTTGCACTTGGTGCACCTGGGGTCCAAGGTGAACAAAAGACCGATCTACTATAGTTACTATAGGTATGATTCAGGATATCCCAAGTGAGATCTTTTTCAATCAATTTTCAAGTTAATATTATGTAAGAATTGGGATCTCCTGCAGCCTGGATATCCCAATTCATTTCTGTTGAAGGCAACCCGCACTGGGACAACCCGACACTGCACTCCAACTTTTGGAGCATGAACTTGGCCAGCTGAGTTGTGACCTGGCAGCAATCCATTGATCATTTGATGGGAAGATGAAATCCAACTTATTTCATAGACAGCTGTTGATCAACTCCAAAATCTAGGGCTCGACTTTGGGCCACTTTCCCACGATTTTAGCAGTTTTGCCCTGCAATATCCTGCAATTCCATATGGAACCCCATGGAACCCCACAGGATGGGCCCCCCAAGATAGCGTTCAGTTGGTTTATAAGTGGCTGAATTCTATGGTTTATGGTAGATATAACATGATATAACTATAGTTAATGGGGATTATTTCATGGTTTATAAACCAACGTTCACATCACTGGGGGCCCCATCCTGTATGGAACCCCCAAAAAATGGTCGACTTCGCAGCAGATCTTGACGTCCCACCTGTGCGAAGCCTCCCTGCGCCGCCCAATGCAAGGGATAGCGGCCCTGGTGGTCCAGCATCAGCAAGGGACATTCAGGTGACCTGCAGCGAAAAAAATCGGATTCAGCAGGGCAATTTCATCGGATTCATCCAGGATTTTTTTTGGGATTATCCCTAGTGATTTACTGGAAAATTTCCTGGAAAACCTACTGATTTTGGGGTTCTTTGGGTTAGATCTCCAGTTTTATGGATCATCCTACTCAAAACCTATCCACCCTTCGCTGGCTCCATCCGTGAGTCAAGGATCTCTTCGTTCATAAGTTCCATGATGTCTGCAGTTTTCGTAGAGATTGAGGCGCGGTATCGCTCTTTCTTATCCCAGCCTTGGAAAGCGCGGTGCTTTGGGGTGGGATGCTGGTGAGGATTTCCATGGCTGTGTGTCAGACATCATATTCATATAGAAAACACAAATGCATAGTTAATTGCATTACAAACGCAAACGACTCACGACATACACTCAAATCAAGATGCCGGGACAACATCTTTTAGCGGCTGTGTCGCATATATAGCCAGCAGGGTTCAAAAGAGGGTCTATATCGTTTAAAAACGCCTGGACTCAATGTCTTGGTTCTTTTGGATGGGTTAGAAATTAGATGGAGAAGATATCTTTTCAAATTTGGATGACACCAGATTTGCCATCAACCAATGTGTGGGTCAACTGGCCAGTGCTCCATGGACCTTTCGCAGGGCTCCAAGTAGCAGGGGTCGTAAGCATTGTCTTTGCCACTGTGGTCGATCAAACACTCCAGAATTGCTTTGACCTAAGCCCCGCAGTTTGTTGGTGACCAGCATGGCATTAGGAGAATCTGGAATTGTCAAGTTCTGGGAATGGAGCACCCATGAATTTGGCTGGTTTGACACAACACCAATGGCAAAAAAAACAAAACACCCTTTCAAGACATCATGATTTTGCAATGCATTGGAATACTAGTCCGGGTTGCGCTCCTAAACATTCTATGCCTCTGTGCGTCAGAGGGTTTCCACGCACACGGTTGATTCAAAGCTGCTGATGTCTTGGTGAACGTTGACAAATCGCACAGCTGATATTATGTGATTTGCATGCGATTTGTCTTACTTTAGCACATGTGATGCGAGGGATGTCCCGCTCCGATTTTGGGGGATGAATTTGTTCCTGCACCTGGGCCAGCACTGCCAGAGGATAGTTATGGACTTCGGTGATCAGCCCCCCGTCTTCGTTGGTTCTGCTTTTCCCAGGGATATCATCTGGCAACCCACTGGATGATTTTCCAATCATATCGCATTTCCTGGTGTCATGCCGGCTGTATGCAACTATTTAAAGTGGACACCCGATGGCTAGTAGTGGTGAACATACAATTTGTCTAGCAAAACGGTTGTCAATCGCGTGCTATTTGCCACTATTTGCTGGTCAGAGCCCGTTGGTGCCGGTCATATCATGTTCTATCCCTCGAACTATAACATGTTATACATATATAAATATAATATCTATATATTATGTTGGTCATGTCTTATCATTTGATGAATCGCTAATGAAGCCTCATGTGCTGTGATTCAATCCACGGTTTTCCATGGCGAGTTGCCACCAAATGCTGCCCCTTGGCGGCCGCCAGGTGCAGAGGCGTCCGGCCGCGGGCCTTGCTCCCCAATAATATTCTGGTTGGTGGTATACTGTTAATAATGGTTAATATTAATGGTTATTAATAATGGTTAATGATGGTTAATGACTATAACTGGTTGGTGGTATACCTACCCCTCTGAAAGAATATGAGTTCGTCAGTTGGGATTATTATTCCCAACATATGGAAAAACCACCAACCAAATGACATATTCTCTAATCCAGCAACCACCAACCTGCTACATGCTGAAGATTCATCGAGCAAGTTGAGGCACTACCTGCTGCCGAGTTTCATCCTGTGTGGCCAGAGACAGGATGTGTTTCCGGTCCTTGTTGCTCTCAGTCATTGTGTAGACTCTGAAGTACCTGCTGACACCCTCCATGCACAATTGAAAGCTGGTCTAAGGAGGAAAGACATCAAGATCTCAAAATCGTTACTCAAAATCTAAACAGTTTCAGCCTTTTTTGGGTAATTTTACTGAATCGTTACTCAAAATCAATTTTCCTCCTTTCTTTCTGGTCATTTTACCGGATCGGGCCTCTCATGTCCAGCCAAGGCTGCCAGGTGCCACACGTTGCGGCCCCCCTGGTCTTGGAGGAAGTAGTCCAAATTGCTGGACGGACTGCGCTGATAGCTGTACATCTCCAGTTCTTGGCGGTCAACGCTACAAGGGGATTTAACTCACAGAAACGGGACTTATATAAATATAATATTTATGTACAATATATATATATACATATATGTATAATGTGTATATATATATATATAATATTAATATGAATTATAAGATAAGAACTTTCCAACGGCATGAAACGATAAGTCACTTGCTATTGATTTGGGCGGCTTGGTGTCCATCTGGGGTATATATATATAATATATGGCTCTGCAGTACTGTGGTGAACAATGAAATGATGTCGGGCTGGAGACGCTACGACAATACTGAGCTCTTTAGTCCTTTTCCACAGCCATCTAAAAGGTTTGGACACCTCATCTTAATTACGTTGGTGGTATACCTGCCCCTCTGAAAAATGATGGAGTTCGTCAGTTGGGATGATGAAATTCCCAATATATGGAAAGTCATAAAATTCCATGGTTCCAAACCACCAACCAGTCATCTTAATTAGGACATCCTGCCCACTGAAGCACTGGGTGGATTTCCATGGTCACCCTTGGATTGAAGAACTATGCCACGAATCTTGTTGGGCAACCGGTGATGCAACACGTGCAGATACAAAATCCCATAGAACATCCTGCATTTAGTCTTATGATTTTCGCAGAAAGCTCCATTTTCATCAGGGATTTCCCAGCTAGCCATGTTATCCCATTCATATTTCCATCTAATGATATCTATAACATAGACCCGGGCAAGCCGGCGGCGGAAGTTTCCCAAAAATAAATGACCTATAGTTCAAAGGACACCCTGTCCCGACCGTGTCCTTCCCTCGACAACCGTTTGATTTTTTCAGCGAGAGACGAAGCAAAGTCTTCACACTCCACACTTCACACTGCACTCTTCGCACTCCGAACTTGAAACTTCACACTCCACACTTCACACTCCACACTTCCAACTTCCCACTGCTTCCTTCACACTTCACACTTCACACTGCTTCCTTCACGAAAATGAAAGCAGCCAAAATCTGAAAGATCCTTTTTTTGTCACATGTATGCAATACGATCATGTTTTCTTGTGTGGTTCGTAACAACGCACACAGAAACGAAAATGAAGTGACACAGGCATTCTGCCGTCTGCAACTCGAAATGAAAGGCGAAGCTACTGAAGCACAGCAATTCAGACTCGGATGCGGTTCACAACAACGCACACCCAGCACTGTTGTTTGCAAGCAGCCAAAATCTGAAAAAAATCACACTTCACACTTCAGACTCCACACTTCACACTTCTCATTTCTCACTGCTTCCTTCACACTCCAAACCTCACACTTCACACTTCACACTTCACACTACGCTCTTCGCACTCCAAACTTAAACTTCACACTCCACACTTCACACTTCTCACTTCCCACTGCTTCCTTCACACTGCACACTTCACACTGCACTCTCCACGCCCCACACTTCACACTGCTCTAAACCTACGTGCAACAAAAAAAACACTAGTGCCAAAATGGAGAAAATCTGCTAACAAATCCATTTTGCAGCCTTCATGCAGCCAGTCCAAGACGATTTACGAGATCCAGCTGCAAAAGACATTACGCATGCAGCCAAAGCAAGAAGCAACCTTGACGCAGCCATTCCAATGCGATCTGCGGAGACTGAGTTGCAAAACACAAGAGAACTACGCGCAATGGCGTCGGAAATTGTAGCTCCAAAACCGGAATCTCGACGCCAGAGCGAAAAAAAGACGATTTTGAAGCACTTTGTAAAAGGATTTTTAGAAGGAAAATCACTAGCGCCAAAATGGAGAAAATCTGCTAACAAATCACTGTCGCAGCCTTCATGCAGCCACTCCAATACGATTTACGAGATCCAGCTGCAAGAGACATTACGCATGCAGCCAAAGCAAGAAGCAACCTTGACGCAGCCATTCCAATGCGATCTGCGGAGACTGAGTTGCAAAACACAATAGAACTACGCGCAATGGCGTCGGAAATTGTAGCTCCAAAACCGGATCTCGACGCCAGAGCGAAAAAAAGACGGTTTTGAAGCACTTTGTAAAAGGATTTTTAGAAGGAAAATCACTAGCACCAAAATGGAGAAAATCTGCTAACAAATCACTGTCGCAGCAGAGGTAGATCATCGAGGTTCGGGGACGGACTTTGTATGGAAAAACATAGGGTTTCGTGCATCTGCTATCTCTCAAAGACGCATTTCGTGCGAGACTTCCTCCAAAACTCCATCGGCAACTCATCCACCAGCACCACTTGCAACCCATTTACAATGCGGGAACGATCCTACAGTTGCAAATCACAATGGAATTCTGTCGACCACACATGCACGAAAAACAGTTGAAACCCCATTTACAATGCGGAACCGATCCGAGACCGATCCGAGAATATCCGAGCATGATCCGACCACACACGAGACCGTCTCGCACCCGTCGCACCGCAGAGGTAGATCATCGAGTTCGGGGACGGACTTTGTATGGAAAAACATAGGGTTTCGTGCATCTGCTATCTCTCAAAAACGCATTTCGTGCGAGACTTCCTCCAAAACTCCATCGGCAACTCATCCACCAGCACCACTTGCAACCCCATTTACAATGCGGGAACGATCCTACAGTTGCAAATCACAATGGAATTCTGTCGACCACACATGCACGAAAAACAGTTGAAACCCCATTTACAATGCGGAACCGATCCGAGACCGATCCGAGAATATCCGAGCATGATCCGACCACACACGAGACCGTCTCGCACCCGTCGCACCGCAGAGGTAGATCATCGAGGTTCGGGGACGGACTTTGTATGGAAAAACATAGGGTTTCGTGCATCTGCTATCTCTCAAAAACGCATTTCGTGCGAGACTTCCTCCAAAACTCCATCGGCAACTCCTCCACCAGCACCACTTGCAATCCCATTTACAATGCGGGAACGATCCTACAGTTGCAAATCACAATGGAATTCTGTCGACCACACATGCACGAAAAACAGTTGACACCCCATTTACAATGCGGAACCGATCCGACCATATCCGATCCGCCCCGAGAATGATCCGACCACACACGAGACCGTCTCGCACCCGTCGCACCGCAGAGGTAGATCATCGAGGTTCGGGGACGGACTTTGTATGGAAAAACATAGGTTTCGTGCATCTGCTATCTCTCAAAAACGCATTTCGTGCGAGACTTCCTTCAAAACTCCATCGGCAACTCATCCACCAGCACCACTTGCAATCCCATTTACATTCAGGGAACAATTTCTTTGCTAACTCTTTCTGTGACTAACTCTTTCCCTCACTAACTCTTTCTTTGACTAACTCTTTCCCTGACTAACTGTTTCTTTGCTAACTCTTTCTTTGACTAACTCTTTCCCTGACTAACTGTTTCTTTGCTAACTCTTTCTTTGACTAACTCTTTCCCTGACTAACTGTTTCTTTGCTAACTCTTTCTTTGACTAACTCTTTCCCTCACTAACTCTTTCTTTGACTAACTCTTTGACCCTGACGAACTGTTTCTTTGACTAACTCTTTCTTTGACTAACTCTTTCCCTGACTAACTCTTTCCCTCACTAACTCTTTCTTTGACTAACTCTTTCCCTCACTACTCTTTCTTTGACTAACTCTTTCCCTGACTAACTCTTTCTTTGACTAACTCTTTCCCTGACTAACTGTTTCTTTGACTAACTCTTTCTTTGACTAACTCTTTCCCTGACGAACTCTTTCTTTGCTAACTCTTTCTTTGACTAACTCTTTCCCTCACTATCTCTTTCTTTGACTAACTCTTTACCTCACTAACTCTTTCTTTGACTAACTCTTTCCCTGACTAACTCTTTCTTCTGACTAACTCTTTCTTTGACTAACTGTTTCTTTGACTAACTCTTTCTTTGACTAACTCTTTCCTAACTGTTTCTTTGACTAACTCTTTCTTTGACTAACTGTTTCTTTGACTAACTGTTTCTTTGACTAACTCTTTCTTTGACTAACTCTTTGACTAACTCTTTCTTTGACTAACTCTTTCTTTGACTAACTCTTTCCCTGACTAACTGTTTCTTTGACTAACTCTTTCTTTGACTAACTCTTTCCCTCACTAACTCTTTCTTTGACTACTAACTGTTTCTTTGCTAACTCTTTCTTTGACTAACTCTTTCTGACTAACTCTTTCCCTGACTAACTCTTTCTTTGACTAACTCTTTCCCTGACTAACTGTTTCTTTGACTAACTCTTTCTTTGACTAACTCTTTCTTTGACTAACTCTTTCCCTCACTAACTCTTTCTTTGACTAACTCTTTCCCTGACTAACTGTTTCTTTGACTAACTCTTTCTTTGACTAACTCTTTCCCTCACTAACTGTTTCTTTGACTAACTCTTTCCCTGAGATTCTAAAAGTCCGTAACACGGAAGTTTCTCCCCCTAAACTTCCTTTGATCAATATCCATGAAATCCCACTGTCTCACTAATATTCCCATGAATTGTCCCATCAATACCCAACAACCGACAGGTTTCTTGCCCGCTGTACCGCACAGTGGGCTGCAGTCTTGCCATAGACGCCACGCGCCTCGCCGTCACAGCGGCTCTCAAGCATTGCGTCAACCACCTGGCGACTGGATCAATGGTGGATCTTTGGGGATTCGACAGGAGTTTTCTTGTTTTTTTTCCTGTTTTCATTCCCTTTAATGGGATTCTTAGTGGGGCTATATTTTCTGTTCCCAAATATGAAAATTTGGCCTCCAACTTTCCATCTTCATCATCCAGTTTCAGCGGATTCGAGGTTTGAAAGAGGATCCACTAAGCTAAGAACTGTAGCTGGATCAAGTGACTTCAACATTGGATTTCGGCCCCACAAACGGCGCAAACGGCGATGATGGCCTTGATATGACCAAACCTCGCTGCAAGGTGGATGGGCATCCAACCATCCTGCCGGGCCCGGTGGGGGATGGTGGTCATAAATGGTGGTACCCCATTTTATCCATAGTGAAATATGATAATTTACCCAGGAACCAATATAGTAATTTCCATGTATAATCATCCATTTGTAGATGGGATTTTCCATAAACCATCCAGCTATTGGGTAGCACCATTCATGGAAACCCTCAGGTCTTGTTGCAATCTATGGATGGTTTGGTGGATCGCTCATGGTGAAGAAAGGTTGGTGCAGCGTTTTATGGGACATGCCGATTTTTGGGTTCCCCGGAACATCATCCAGCCTTCTGCTTCAGTGTAGGATCACTCCTGCGAAGTGGCAATGGCTGCGGATCCAGATTGTACTCTGGCCCTCTGACAGGAAATATGGCCACTTTACACATTTTGATGCTGTGAAACCCTAAAAAGGTCAAAAAATGTGACCATTGACTGCAAAAGCTCTATGATTTTGCCAGGAAGGGAATCTTCCACTCCAAAATTGCAATGGGAGCCAGTCAAATCCAGATCTCTACTTCAGGAGCCGGAAAGCTAATGGCTTTTTCGCATCCCTCACAACGCTGATGGCCACTCTGATCGTTCCAGCTGTTTTTAAGGCAAAGGCCATGCGCATCAATGATCAATTCACTTGTGCCAACCACAAGGCCAATTGCAACTGAAGCGATAGCCGCATTAGTCAGGTTACAAGCCGGGGATTGTAAACCTGCCTTCACCAGTTCCATGACATTCACCAGCCAGTTTACGCAGTGATCTCCCATTTACTGGTTCAATCAGAATTTTGGATATCTATTCCCAATTGAATTACTGGTGAGAACCAATTTTGAATCAATTTGACTCAATTAAAAACATCCAAAATAGGTTCAAAAATATCCAATTGAATCACCAGTAAATGGGATATCACCACTGGGATGTCAAAAATCCTAATAGATACCATTTTATCTATCCAAAAATATTGATACCATTTTCACTGGATATTTTTGGACCACCAGGTCCCCCAGGTCCGGCCCGGGTCGTCCTCAATTGCAACAGGACCTTGGTCGCCTCCACCCTCCCGGCCACGCAGGCCACGTGCAAGGCGCTGCGGCCGTGGCGGTTCACCGCAGCCACCAAGCTGAAGGCACTGGTGGGGCTCTTCGCCACCAAGGCGCGAATGGCCTGGTGCTGTTTTCATGGGAAGTTGAAGCATTTTTTGCCAGGAAAAACTTGAACGTAAGCGGGAAAATGTGGGAAAATGAAGGAAATACTGAGCAATTTTGAACTATTTGGATGTCTTGTACCGAAAAGGTACATACCGGAGACCTTTTGAGGACGGAGGCTTTTTTGGTGGATAACGGGCAGGGAGAGGGAAACTTCAGATCGTTCGGGCGCCTCGCAATTTCCGTGCTTGGCCGCCCAGTGCAAGACTGTCATGCCATCCTCGAATCGAAGTAAGGGACACACCCAAAAATTCTCAGAGGAATGACTTCTGCTGCACCTACTTGGAGCCTGGTGGTAAAACTTACTTCTACCAGTGCCTGGGGTCTCATGCCGGCAAAACTTGCTTAGGGCTATCTCGGTAAGCTCTTGTAACAGTGGATAGCTTTTCAATCCTACAAGAAGCACTGACACGAACAACTGCACCACAGATAGTAGTAGAATCTCCCCTACAAACCAACCAACCATCTGCTTGTCTGTTTCAAGCCCGACTCTGCCCTTGGATCGGAAACACCAACTCAACCCTCCCATTTCCATTTTCGTCATGACCTGCCCAAGTCCTTCTCGGTAGAAGTTACAGATGCGCGGTGCTGCAGTAAGAGCATCACCACGCGGAAATGGTCCTGCCTGTGACATGCAGGAATCTTTGGGATCTAAAATCATCCCAAAGGTGGGGTCCCGGTGAACCGTAGACATGTTTCTCTCTTTTTTACTGAACTCATGAACATAACAAAACTGAATTCACTTCAGTAGCAAGGAAATCAGCAGATAAAAATTGGGTACACGCTCCTTCCCTTGTCGCTGAATGGTTCAAGCACAAAACAAATCACCCAACGCCCACGCCTGGCTGCTGCAAACATTGGCGCCACGCCATTGGCATCCAGCGCCGACAGATTGGCCTTGTGACGCAGCAACTCGTAGACCAGCGAGGCATTCCCACGGCGTGCCTCGCCAAAGACATGGCTTCATGGTCAACAGATCGTGACGATTCGTGACGGCCTGTGCATGTGGCTCTTAAAAATTATGAATCTCCAAGCCACTGATGACTTACATGACTTACATATTCATATTATTCATATTACATGACTTACATATATTTATGTGAGAATATTATGAGTAAATCATCTTGACCCACATATTCACTCAGTCGTGCCCATGGCACTGCTCCAAGCCACACCGAGATATAGTGGGGTCCGTTGATGGCTGCAGCGTAGCTCCAAATCGCTCTTCAACTGGATTAGCTTCCTTGTTGGATTGAGGCTTTCAAACTAAACATCAATGTTGCACAATTGCCAGAAGCCTTGCGGCGCTTCACGCTGGTTTCACCCTTCTGTCCGGCAAACAATTCAAAATAACTTCAACGTTAAGCTGGTGCAGTGTTTCATGCAGAATCGTGCAATTTCCTGTTCAAGAATGGAAAACATGCACCAGCAGTCAAAGCAAATACGAGAACAACGTTTCATACAGGCAAGGATACAACTTCTTCCAAAGGAAGAGTTATCCAATTGAAATGGTATTTGCAAAAAACAATACGGATCAAACCTACAATATTGCTTTGAAGAAATAAGATTCCAACAAATAAGTGCCGCTGTCCAAAACACAAATTTTCCTTCACCACTGCAACTTTGGAGCTTTTAATCCTACAGGATGGTGCCCCAAAAAGTTTTCAGTTGGTTAAAAAAATATCCTAAGAAGTTGCCAGTTATATCTACCATACACCAATGGATTTACCCTCTGGTTATGACTAACATAGCCATGGTATAGATGGCCCATTTATAGATGGTTTACCTATTAAAAATGGTGATTTTCCATGGCAAACTGTTAAATAACCAGATGGTAAGCCAAACAAAAGCAGAAATGGGGTCATTGCCACACACTTCATGGTTTCGCCAAGCGGCAGTGCCACGTCCACCGTTCCCCATTGAGCGCTCAAATGCAATGGCGTCTTGCCAGCCACCTCAATCTTTGAAGGACATTTGAAAAACAATGTATATATATATATATGTACATAGATATATACAGAGATGAGCAATCATGATAAATCGTTCACCAATTGCTCATTATCTGCCGATGCTTCCATGCGAAACGATGCTTCATGATCCCAATTTCCAACTAGTCCCAGGCACATCGCGGTCAGTCAGGGTCAGGACATGCAGTTTCTCCTCCAATTCCTGAAACATCAACATTTGATGTTAGAGCCGCGAACAAGATAAGGCCAGCTATTTTCAGGTCAAACTCTTATTGGGGAAGGGAAACTTCCATTCGTACCCATTGGTATCCACTAATTCCTCAACATCCATGTCATTCATGATCAGTATTCCTTAATCTTCATGAATTTCCATGGATAAAAACTCCATGGATGATCACTGAGATACTCATCTTATTGGAATATCACTTATGTATATCTGTACATCCATCAGTATCCATCTTGCTTCGGGCCTTCGGGCTATTTGATCTATTTTGCCGGCCTCCAGTAGCTGCGGTTCGACGTTGAAGCAGGCAGCGATGTGGAGTGTGTTCCGCTGGTTCTTCAGGTCCTGGCTTTTGCTTGGGAGATTTGGACATCGATGAAATTGAATCATCAAACAGATTGAACTTTGGTAGTTTTTCAAACGGGAATTGAAGTCATCAATCTTTGAGTAATTGATAGTAATCAAATATTTGATTCACCACTATCAGTGGTAGTAATCGATCTTTGAGTAATCGAAGCAGGACGGATCAGTCGTGGGTCCTTACAGCCGGATTTTCCTCCATTCTCGAGATATCACCAAGTGAAGGTGGTCAAACATGGCTGCAGGAAACCATCTGGACAATGTACTGCCGTCAAATTGTCAAAAGGGCAGTGGTGGGCGATACTTCTTTTCTTTCTTGAATAGGGATTAGAATATGGCCCTGTAACCAATCAACCTAGTTCGACTGGCTAGTTCTGGGCTTAAGGATGCAGTCCTTCCCAACGTGAACCGTCAGGACTCAGGGTCTTCTGACATGAATTGAACATAAGAAAAAGTATTCTCAGGACTTCCAGAAGCTGGACGCAGTGGCCACGGTGCCTCTATCTTGTGATTCTGAGTGAACAACATGCCTATCTGTTTGCATTAACATATTTTTCTGGTTTAAATACACTCTTTGCATTCATCTTGCCCAAATAATTGCGAACGGAATAAATCCTGCCAATCTGTCATGGACATGTACATTGTGACTCTCAAAGAAACTGGTCTTATGCACAAATACAGAAGATGTTTTTTTTCCGCATGGTTTCGACTTCCATGAGTCCATTCGGATTCCATTCTATTGACATTCTGAGGTTACAGGCCCATTAAATCCCATTAACCCGGTGATTTTTCCACTTACCATCCTTACCATCCGTGATTTCATGGCGCCCAGGTCTCACCTCCATCAAGAGATCGGCGGCGCCCTCGATCAGAGTACGGCTGCAGGGTGCATGACAGCGCCTCAAAGTCTCAGGAGTCAAGCGCTGCCCCCCACATCCCATTTTTTTTGGATACCCTCTGGTTATGTCTACATAGCTATTGAAAATGGTGATTTATAGTGGATTTACCCATTGAAAATGGTGATTTTTCATAGTTATGTTAGTTTACCAGAGGGTACCTTGCCATATGAAACTGACTGGATCACTGATTTCAGAGATTGATTTTGTAGATGTGCAGACAAAAGACTCCCAATCTGCTTTGTAAAGCCACTTGTCAATGGGTTAATCTATACCAATAGACCTCAATGTGACCTAAAAAATCATCCATTTGGTGGTTTCCAAGCCATAGGGGTACCGAAATATTTCAATTTGTAGATGGGATTTTTCATGAAATAAACCATTGGGGTACCATGACTTAGGAAACCGCCCATGGCGCCTCAAGGTCCATTGGAAGGCCGTCCAGCCGGCATTGTCGCGCTGGTTCAGGGGGCAGCAGGCCTCAGGTTCTCAGGAGATCAAAGATTCCAATGGGTCAAAACCCTGGTACCTAGTGAACCCCAAGTCATAGCTGGGTTAAAATGGATGTTCATCCCACTAAAAATGATATTTTTATAGGTATTGATCCATAGCCATATGTATTGATATGTTTTGATCCACAAAAGTAAAATAGCAATTTCTCGAAACATCGATTTCTCGGGCCATCTTTGGGATGTTCCCAAGCAGGTCATAGCTGGCATAGCTCACAGCTTGGGACTGAGGGGATCCAACTTGGCCAAGTCACAATCAACTGCTGGGTGACTGTGACGTGTCCGTTCAAGGCCGCCCAGTGCAATGCACTTCGTCCAAAGCTGGCGCGCCAGGGTGCGGAAATGGGGACTGCACAGTACCACCATCCTTTGGGTTGGCACAGTATTGATTTCCCCTAACTTTCATTGCGCCAGGAATTAGGCGAAATGTATGGTACATTTTGTGGTAGGCCCTGACTACACCACGGGTCGGACCGACCCATTGTCACTCCGATCCCAGGTGCCTCGTTGTGGCCGATGTGTTGGCACCGAGTCCTGTTGTCTGTTGCTGGGACAAAATTCGGTGACTAGTGATGGCATACGTGGCGTTCCTCATTCTTGTTGATTTCATACTGTATCGATCTCTGCCAGCGCAACAAATTTGCGTGTATCTCCACTTCTGCCGTTTTTCTATATTCTAACCTTATCAACGAAATCTACTGAGTATAATTCATTACATCCCCATTATATTCCCCATTATATCACATTCTATCACCATGAAAATGGTGATGGTAGAACCAGTGTGGGTGCCCCGCGGGGCCGCTAAGTGATTTCTGCCGCTTGCCCCGCTTGCCCCGCTTGCTCCCCTTCTAGGGAAAATAAGTGAATCTTCCTCCTTGCCCCGCTTGCCCCGCTTGCCCCGCTTGCCCTACTTGCAAGCCGAGGGAAGATCGGTGGTTCTTCCCGCTTGCCCCGCTTGCCCCGCTTGCCCTGCTTGCTTTGGTTTCACCACACAGCAGTATGAAAAAGGAATAGAGGTGGTAACGTGAATGGAATGTTTGGGCGAGTGGGGCGAGTGGGGCGAGTGGGGCGAGTGGGGCGAGTGGGGCGAGGGGGGCGAGTGGGGCGAGTGGGGCGAGTGGGGCGAGTGGGGCGAGTGGGGCGAGTGAGGCGAATGGGGCGAGTGGGGCGAGGGGGGCGAGTGGGGCGAGTGGAGCGGCCGACGGGGATTAAGTGGCGACTCCAAACACCGTGGCATCAATACCAGATTGGATTCTGCAAGTTCCCTTTGTAGAAGACGTGTGCAAGATCTCCTTGACAGGTTCTTTCTAGACGCTGCTGTGCAAGATCCTTTTGTACAAGGTCTGTATGAGACCAAACAAAGATCGACTATGTTTAAACATGTCCTAGAAAAATTGCGTTGAACATTACATGACACCAATGTGACATTAAGCATCAAGCATCACCGGAAGCAACCTCCAGCCATTCCGGGAATGCGCACCGACGCGCAGTGCACGTGCCCCGCGGGACCACAGACCCGATGGTCACAGTGAGGAGTGGACTATTGTGCCATCTCTATTTGATTGCGTACCAACGTCACGCATGCTGGCATCAGCATCTGCTGAATCCCTAAGGTAGAAGCCATTGTCATGGTGCCACTTAGCATCGGCACCTGCAGACGCAGGAGTCAGCGACATGGTCGGTGTGGACAGGACTCCCGTGAGTCTTCTTTCCCCCATGAAGCAGAAAAATTATATCGCAGTCGGAAAGGATGGTAGAAAACAGAAATGGTAGAAAACAGAATAAACAGGTGCAAGTTTCAATTCTTTCTTGGACTTGATCAGGAACAAATAAAACATGTGTCTTGCTTCAACATCTCGAACGGCTATGTTCAGCGAACAGTGGCTTCATATGCGCCGCACAAACTATTTTGGAGCCGCGGTGTTGGCTGTCCGCTTTGCCTCAAAAAGAATAGATTGGGCCTTTGTCAATCTCATGCCACCAGCGCACACGATTGAACACTAGAAGGCCAAGCCGACTGTTTTGAATGTGGCTTTGGACACCATGATGAACCACTATGCAAGATCTTCACACCACAATGTCTTGTCATGAAAATGGGTGGGTTGATTGAAATTGACGCACAATATGTTGCAGCCACCATACAGTCTTGATTGAAAGCATTCACCTCGTAGGGTCAGGAACACGCTCGGGCTGGAAAGAAGCCAGAGCTTAATTTCGAGGAATCGCACCATTATTGACGCGTATCTTTGGAAACAAGACTTATATACAACAAGTGCTTTGGAGCACATTGTCACTCTTTTTTTGGGCTGACAGTTTAGACATGGGACCGTGCAAGACCTCGTATTTCTGGAATCCTACTTGAAATCATTGGCACTCAGTTGAAGCTTGGCAATCATGTCTTGAGCTTCCGAATTAGTCAAAAGGCCCTCCCAGGCACATGTCTGGTAGTACAGGACAGCGTGGCCACCTGGCGGGCCTCGTGGCTCGCTCTTTAGCGTGGCCTCCTTGCTCTTGGCGCTTTTCTTGTCCTTAAGTTTGGGCGCCTGTTCTTCCACTTCCTTCTTGTCAACCTCTTGCAAGATGCCAACTTTCAAGAGGTCTTTGACTGCTGCCAAGACGAACTTTGCTGGTTTTTCCTCTTTCTCCTTCTGAAAGTGGTACTTCAGAACAGAGCGAATGTGCGCAGTGGAGGTTGGACCAGCACATCGAGGATTGGACAGAATGACTCGCTGCAATTTCATCTTGGCATCCAAATCTGCAAGTCCTGGGGGCTTGACATCTGGCACTGCTTTGGGGCGTACCAAGGCTTGGACTTGCTTGGAGCGATAGAAGGCAAACCACAAGCACATTTGGCGACGCCAGATATGCAAGGCATGTCCCAAATCGAAGATGGTCATTTCAACGGCAAACTCATCTATGATCCTATCAAGGGCCAACGCGCTCGGGCCTCAGAATACTGCCTGCAACGCATGGCTGCATTAGCGTACCGAGCCACATCTGTGTCAGCATAGCGTAGCTTCTGTTAGATTGGTTCCTCTACATTCTCGTGATTCTCGTGATTCTCGTGAAAGAAGTCGGAGATTCCCTGCAAAGCCTTCCTGAGCACGGGCAAGGCGAACTTGTCAAAATAGTGGTCTTTGTCCTGGTTGCTTGCCACGCGCCCCATCCAACCAAAGAAGTCAATCAGGAACTCTTTGCTGGACTGGCTCTGCTGATCAGGGTCACTTGTCACTGGCCTTGTTTGCCACGTCGCATGGATTCTCTTGCAAAACATGCTTGCAGTCGGCTGGAGCACATACTCACAAAGCGACACCTGTCCATACACTTGGTGAACGAAGGTGTAATGAGTCAGCGCCGTGGCACCATCTCCAGTGACTGTCTTGTCATCTTCGCAGTTCAGCCAAGTGCACATCTTTTGTTTGTTGCCGTAACGCAGACCTGAGTGTCGGGTCTCCCTCCCGGATGTCATGGCATATTGTTGTGGCAATCTCCTCCGAAATGATGCCAGCTCGGGCATATTCTTTGATAGAAGCACGAAGACCCTTGATGGTGGCATCCGTGCATGTGGCGCCACCTGCCTTGATGACAGCAGGTACATCTGCATGGGAAAGAAGCTTTTTGCAGGTAAAATCCTTCAAATAACTCTTGCGCATGCTGGGGTCACCTGCGCAAACAATCTGGACTACGCAGCCACGTCGGTGCTCCTCATCAGGCTGCAATCGAAGCCGCGTGCCTGCATGGATGCTCCATCCAACCAATGTTGCTGAGGATCGGCGCCATGAATGTCTCAGGCTCACAACCTTCCTTGCGGGCAATGGTTCTCAAGCTGACTTCGAAAGGCACGGGCAGCACTTCTCGAGTTCTGAAGGCAAAGTCTGATGCCACAGCGTGGTGGTCCCTGGGGTCTTTCAAGGCTGCATTCAGAACGGTTTGATAAGAAGCCTCTGGGCTTCCAAGCCCTTGATATGTGCTCTTGGTGTGAAGCAACGAAAGGCTTTGTGCTTCATCCCTGCAAGCCAAGTACTCCGACATGGCGTCGTGCATAGGATCCTTCACCGTGGTAGATGCCTTGCTGGTCAGGTCGTCGTAGATGTCAATCCCAAAGCTTGGAATGGACAAGCGGGCTGCTTCACTTCCACCCTGTGTGAAGGGAGGGCTTTCTGGGCTTGGGGACCTTTGGGTGGGCGGCACTGGGCTGCGTTGTCCTGCTGGCGGGCTTGCGTTGGTTGCTATCTTCTTGCCCGCTGGGCCCCCACCCGCACGGACAGGCGAAGCTGCCTCTTCTCTGGTCTTTCTTTTTACCCCCTCAGCCACAGCCTCTGCTTCCATTGCTGCCTCAATCTCCATCTCTTGCAAAGCGGCATCATCAGCCTCTTCCTGGGAATCTTCATTCTGAAGACAGAATGGGCAGTCATGCATAGGGCAGCCCTGCTTTAATCGGTATTGCTGCAAGCAATCCGCGTGGCACACGTGCGAGCAAGAGTCTCGGCTCGGGGAGCACAAGTGTTTTTCCGCATCGTCTGCGAAACCATCTCCACAAACTTCACACGTGGCCATGTCTAGGAAGCTAACTCCTACAACTTGAACTTGATGGCGCGGCTTGGGTACCGGAGAGCACTTGTCAATGCGTGGTATCATGGTCATATTTGTCGGATTTGCCTTTGCAGTCCCAAGCGTGATATCGACTCCATGCAACCAAACTGGCTCTCATGCATGCTGCGCTGCGTGGACAGCCGGAACAATGTGAAAATGTTCACATGCCCTCCACATCTCTCAGTTTCAACACTTCTGTAGCGCGCAGCGAATTTTTTTAACCTCGCGACATGATCAAAAACTGCTTGGCCTAGTGTACAAAAGGACTGCTTTCTGGAAGTTTCTTGCGATTGAGAGCACAATATCGTCCGTGCCATTGAGACCCACAGGTCGCAGTGGACGAAGCCGGGGCGGCGCTAATCAGGTACGGATAATTTGCGGTCTGCGGCCTGCAGCGTCTGCAAACAAGATTCTTGCAACGCTTGAACCCGAGCCTCAGTCCAATGAAATCTTGGTTTTGAAAACAACTCCCAAGCCCATAGCGGAATGTCTGGCGGCAAATTTTCAGGCGGACGTTCTTGATCAACTTGACTGTACAGGTGCCAGTATAGACAAGCAAGAGACGAACATTTTGCTCATCCAGCGCCCGCGGCAATGCAAGGTCAACTTCAACACCCGCAATGGGCTCTAATGCACCTGAACGCCAGCGTCTACATACGTTTGGTGGAGCATGCTGCGGGGAGATGACATCCTCCTCGTCACAGGAAACTATAACGAGCCCATCATCTCCGTGTAAATCACGCTTGTAGAGCAGGCGAATCCGCTGCACATCTGCCCGGCCGCTGCCATCTCCAGACCGCCTTGGAGGGTCAAATTCCAGAGCATCCAGCTGCAACCAGGTGTCAGCGCATTCAAAGCATACATTCTCTGTGAAGCCAAAGGCTGCAGCTAAGGTCACACCCTCCTGCCAAGGGAGCCACACACCAAACGGAGCCATGGATCGCACACCACAATAAAAATTGTCCAGCCAAATTCCATACCCAGCATCACCGGGGGAAGGCATCTTGCGGCGTCAGCAGAAAGGGCGCTGCGTTGCCATTAACATAGGGCTAGAGGCTTTAAAAGGGTGACTCTGATGCTGCTTGTGTGTGATTGTGTTGCATTAATAGATTCAATGACTCAATGATATACTGTCCTGACATTGCCCGGCTCCGAGAACACAGGTAGACAGAACTAATTCAGTCGCGGAATCCAAAAGGAACGGCTCTCATCTGCGCGTGGGGCCGCGTGATGGGTAATACCTGAAGCAGCTCGTTCGGCCAGGTGCGCCCGCAAACGCACTGGCACAACGGATCGCACCGAGTGATCAACTGTGCATGAAGTGGCCAAACCTAGCTCTGCATTGCCAGCCTGCCAGCGAGCTGCCAAAGCTGCATTCTCGCGCAAAGCTCTGCCTTGATCTCCTTGTGTTTCCCCCGGTTGCTTCTGGAACGGCAAGCCTAGGCATGCAAGGCTACATAAAAACAATCTGTTGCGGGTCTCTCTTTAAAGGATGGCAACATGTTACAAAAAATCATCGAGGCCAAGCCACTCGCTCCACGGCGATCATTCGCACAGTTGGCAATCTGGAAATGTAAGCCGACATCTTTGAGCTCACTCCATCTGCATGTGCGGGTCTCTGTGTATTTGGCTTTGAGGACGGTTCGTCCTTGAAAAGTTGCCTGCTTCAATGGAACCACATCAGCCAAAGGAATTTTTCTGCTTGTCCGTACACTCAGAATGAACACTGGCTGATCGTCCCGGAAAGCAAAGAGACCTCCTCTGGGCTGCAACTGTGTGACTTTGCCATCAGTGTTGTCAGCAGCTCCAACGTCCTTCCTGCTGCCACCCGTTGGGCAAGACTGCAACGGTCAGGTCCCCTCTGCGGGCTTGTGCTGGCCTGCAAGGCTTCTGATGCTGGTGCTTTTGCCAACTTCGGCTTTTGCAAAGAGCTGCGAAGAAGCAGCCGGCGACGCTTGGATGCTGTGAAGGAAACTTGAGCCGGACTGCCGGTGTTCCCAGCGTCAGAACGGCGCTTCCGCTTCTTGCTTTTCCAAGGCGGCTGCGTGAGCTTCTGGCGCTTGGCAGCGGGTCCCTCATCTTCTGCAGTTGGCCACAAGGAATCCCAGAGGCGGTTGCTTCCTTCAGCTTCCCTTGCATCTCTCCTTCTTTGACATGCCAGACAACTTGCTTCCCCTTTTCCCATCGAACTGGGGATCTGAACTCTATGGCAACAATCTCGGGGACCAACGGCAAGGAGGCACAGACCCATGGGTTTTCAACCTTGCTGGCTTGAATCACCTTCCCTATAGGCACACCATCCCAACCACGCAACTTTTGGACAAAGAAGCTTCCTCTGGCGCATCCGGCCATGTCTGGCGCAAGGCGGCCGAACATTCGGGGGGCAAGCTGTTGATTGACTAACGGCCCACGTGAAAATAGTACCAGCCAGCTGCCATCCGCCTCTTCCGAGATTCTATGCGTTTGGAACCTCGCAGCATAGCTAAGGCAACCTGCGGCCCCTGAATGGTGAAGGCTCGCCGAGTCGCTTGCGCTTCGTCGGCCATGGCTTCAAAGGAGAGCTACAAGGTTGTAAATGACAATGATGATCTTGTTCACAGCATGAACACGTACATCTACATATCAGCTCAATGTCACGATGTCTACGTCAATCGCCCGGCTCGGAGAGCACAGGTTGACAATACTGGCGCAGGTGCCTAAATTTGAGCCCAACGGATGAAGATAGGCGCAAACAAGCAAATGCTACACCACACTGTAGTTAAAAAGCATGAAGTTCTCTGAGCATGCAGGGCAGCTGCAGCGGACAGTGCATCTGAGGGATTGAGAGGATGTCCCGACTATTTCGACCACTAGATTACCATTGCGCCCAGCTTCCCATCGCAAATTTTTACACCATAGCAGGCTGTTCCGCAGGCCTGTTTGTCTATACCATATGTCCAAGTTTGTGAAGATGTCTAATTTTGCCGCAGCTGCAGTAGCAACATTAATGGCCACTGCAACTAGAAAGTGGCAAACGCAGATTGCACTGCGGAGCTGTCCCCGCCTCCGTCCTGCGCTCCCCATGTAACAATGGATCCATTGTAGCGCACTGCTGCAAACTCTTTGGCAGACCCATGTATGAACTTGACATCCGTCAGCATTGGCAAAGAACCCGTTCAAAGAGGGTGTGACTTGCCGGACTTTCTCGTATCACAGAACTATCGCCCCCCAAGGTGGCCTTTCCCCAGGTGACAAGCGGCCCTTCCTCCGTGACAGCTGCAAATGCATAAGGGTTGCCCTGAACATTCACAATGCCTTGAAGTCGGTCTTGGACCATCGAGCTGTCTCCTCCATTACTAGGGTCTCCCCAAGCAACCACGGACCCATCCAACACAATGGCAGCGAATGCGAGACACGTATCAAAAAAAAAATATAAATGCATCAAAAAAAAATATCCAGCACGCATCAAAAAAAAATAAAAAATGCATCAAAAAAAATATCCAGATGCCACTGTGTGAGACCTCCTGAGTCTCGTGCTGCAAACCTAGATCAAAAAAAATATATCCGTATCAAAAAAAAAATATAGCAGCAGCAGCAGCAGCAGCAGCAGCAGGAGTAGTAGTAGTAGTAGTAGTAGTAGTAGTAATAGTAGTAGTAGTAGTAGTAGCAGTAGCAGTAGCAGTAGCAGTGGCAGTAGCAGTAGCAGTAGCAGTAGCAGCAGCAGCAGCAGTAGTAGTAGTTGTAGTAGCAGTAGTAGTAGTAGCAGTAGTAGTAGTAATAGTAGTAGTAATAATAGGAGTAGTAGTAGCAGCAGTAGCAGTAGCAGTAGCAGTAGCAGTGGCAGTAGCAGTAGCAGCAGCAGTAGTAGCAGCAGCAGCAATAGTGGTTGTAATGGTCGTAGTAGTAGTGGTAGTAGTGGTACTAGTAGTGGTACTAGTAGTAGTGGTAGTAGTAGTGGTAGTAGTAGTGGTAGTAGTAGTGGTAGTAGTAGTGGTAGTAGTGGTAGTAGTAGTAGTAGTAGTTGTAGTAGTAGTAGTAGTTGTAGTAGTGTAGATTGTCGTCGTAAGAATAACAATAGTCGCAGGGGTAGCAGTAGCAGTAGCAGTAGAATGTAGGTGGGCCTTATCATCACCTTCCTGGTTTGTCACAAGCTGCGGGGGGTGGGGCTTGACAATTAAAAAGGCGGGGAGGGGGGCGCGGGGGGAGGGCGCAGCGCCTCCCCCCGCAAAGCGTCACATGAGTGGTGTCCACAGGATTACTCTATATCTCTCTTGAGCCTTGACAGCGTATATAAATATGGTCACTACTCATGCAGTACACACGAAGATTCAACTTAAAACAAAAAGTCGGGGGCAGCGCCTCCCCCCTCCTTCCCTCCCTCCCTCCCTCCCTCCTTCTTCCTTCCTTCATTCCTCCTCCTCCTCCTTTCCTTCCTTCCTTCCTTCCTTTCCTCCTGTATGGTCATTTATTTTTTTTGATGCATTTATATTTTTTTTTGATGCATTTTTATTTTTTTTGATGCATTTTTATTTTTTTTTGATGCGTCTCCCAGCGAATGCAGTATGCGTGCTGTGAATCTGCGTCACTCCCTTCAATTTGGCTTGGACCCCAGGTGGCGACAGACCCATCATGACGAAGGGCGGCAAATGCGCCCTGGGCAGCTGCAGTCACGCTTCTCACATCATAGAGCTGCTGCCGTACCATTGCCCTGTCAGCAACCATCTTCGGCAAGCCCCAGGTAACAACAGATCCGTATGATGTCACTGCGGCAAAAGCGCGGCCGCTGGCAACGATCTGCACCACTTTGCGCAGGCGCATTATATATATATATAAATATATATATGCCAACTAGAATGCCAGTTGACCGGGGCCACTCGAGGAAAGTAATTTTGACTATTATCGTTTATCAGGTGGGAGCTCCAATTTGCGCAAAATGGGGCCTGTCAGTGTATATCGCGTGCCCCGCTTGCCCCCTTGCCCCGCTTGCCACGCTTGCCCCGCTTGCCCCACTTGCCCCGCTTGCCCCGCTTGCCCCGCTTGCCCCGCTTGCCCCGCTTGCCCCGCTTGCCCCGCTTGCCCCGCTTGCACTTGCTCTGCTTACCTCCGCAGCAAGTGCGTCGAGTGGGGCGGAGTGGGGCGAGTCGGGCGAGTGGGGCGAGTCGGGCGAGTAGGGCGAGTGGGGCGAGTAGGGCGAGTGGGGTCGAGTAGGGCGAGTGGGGCGAGTGGCCAAAGTCAATTAATTTTCCTACCAAGGCAAGTGGGGCGAGTGGGGCGAGTGGCGGATTTCAATTAATTTGCTAGCCCAGGGCAAGTAGGGCGAGTGGGGCGAGTGGGGCGAGTGGCGGATTTCAATTAGTGTTCCTCGTGGGCGCCCGCAATGTGATGGTATCCCCCTTTTCCAAACACACTTGTGCCCGGTCCAATAAGCTTTGCCACCGCTTGGCTATGCCCAAAGCGCGCCGCCAAATGCAGCGGCCGCGTCTGGTCGCTGTCAACGGCTTCCAAGGCAAAGCCCCGCGAGAACAAGAACTGCAGGGCACTCTGGATTTCATGGGGAGCCCAAAGAAAACCAAGAAAAACCAGCAGAGATAGGGGAGATAGGGATATCATGGGGATTGTATGCAAAAAGTTGCCAAATTATAAAACAAAGCCTTGTATTGGGAGAAAAGGATATAATGGGAAGATAATGATGGGATTTGACCACTCATGATTTGGGGTCTCAAACAACAATTGGTAATCCAACATGTGCGGAACCAACAAGAGATTGATAAGACACAAACATCCCCTGACCTTGAGCTACTCTACTGACTGCGGTGGTATGTTGTGGTTTTGTTCTTGGAATTGCTTTTCAAACCCTTTTCGTATCATTGGCTTTATATATATATATTATATGTACGTAAGTATGAGCACCAAGAATGGAGCAGGATTGAGCACACAGAGTTGGAAATTCTCAGTATCCAAGTATTGGGTTCAATGCATGCTTTTTGCCACATACCTACGTGGCTTGTTGCTTGGCTATCAAGTAAAGGCGTCGTCGTTTTTTACTGCTTATTACAACATTCGGTTCTTGTGATTCTACAGCATTATCATTTTCACTCACCCCAGTTAATGATACACACATGCTGATTATTGATTATCTGTATTTGTTCATGAACCCAAGGCGTTGTCCTTTCATAATCAAACATGGCAATGGAACATTCCCCAACGATGATTTTTCCAGTTGTAAATCTCCAGTTCGGGGCTTTCCCAGCAAGCCACGTTTGCATTATATTCCCATGTATATACATCAAATCAAATCCCAATATATCCACATAAATCCATGTTTGTTGATGGTGAAATCCCTTCAATCCCTATTGAACCCATTTATATCACGTTTGAGACCAAGGGTAAGTCCTATAATTGTTTCATTGATCCTATTCATATCCCTTACCATTCCATTCATATTCCCGTTATATCCCTATGATACCACATGTTCTAACATCAATTCGCATTAATATCCTTTAAATCCCATTCATGTTCATTAAAGTTCATGAATATGCACTATTCCCATTCTACCCTCTGGTAACTAACATAATATGGAAAAATCACATGTTTTATGGGTAAATCAGCTATAAATGGGCTATTTTCACTAGCTATGTTAAATTACCAGAGAGTATTCCCATGAATATCTCAATATTATGTATATAGTTGGTGGTTTCAATCCCTCTGAAAAATATGAGTTCGTCAGATTGGATCATCATCCCAGTGATTGGGGAAAATGAAATTCCATGGTTCCAAACCACCAACCAGATAATACCATATTATTAATCCCATTATTAACCATCATTAGCCATCATTAACCATTATTCCAGATTATATTAATCATTAATATGCCATCCCATTAAATTCCACCAACCAGTTATATATGAACAATACCCAGCCTGGTCAACTAACATAACCATGGAAAATCACCATTTATATCCCAAGATTCTGAACAAATCAACCCTAGGATGCACGTCCCGCACCTGTAAGACCTCCACATGATTCCATTGTGCCGCCAGGTGTAGCGGCGTGCGCTTCTTCTCCATGAAGCTGGGCGGTTGTTGGAGGTTTGGTAAATGGTGAATAAGCCATACATGGGAACTAAATAGGAACTAAATGGCAACTAAATGGTAAATAGTAACTATGGCAAATGGTTCTCACATGGTAACTCAATGGGAACTAAATGGTAAATAGTAATGATCAAATTATGATAAATGCTGATCAATGGTAAAAATAGTATGGAGATGTATGGAGTATTTGTAATCCCAAAAGATAAATAGGGGGATGGCGCCAATACTTTCGTGGGTATGGAGCCTTTTTCTCGGGTTTGCTTGTTTACCAATTGTTGTTGTTTGAAACCCAAAATTATGAGTTGTCAAATTCCATCATTATCTTCCCATTGTATCCCTTTCTCCCAATACAAGGCTTTGTTTTATAATTTGGCAACTTTTTGCATACAATCCCCATGATATCCCTATCTCCCCTATCTCTGCTGGTTTTTCTTGGTTTTCTTTGGGCTCCCCATGAAATCCAGAGTGCCCTGCCATACAATCCCCCAAGACGATAGGACAAACCTGTTTCTGCGAAAAATTGGTTGAAGTTTTCGCCGAATCTTTTCCAGGCCCAACATGTTCATCCCAGTTTTTGGGCTGAATTTTTACGGTTTTGTTGACCAACAAATAGATGGAACAGGGATTACCCTCTGGTAATTTGTTACATAACTATGGAAAATCACCATAGAAATAGTGAGTTTTCCCATTAAACATGGTGATTTTCAATAGCTATGTTAGTTTACCAGAGGGTACAACCAACCAAATTGTTCCAATTTGAGATTTACAGATTAGACAAATACAAAACAAACAGGTTTTAAAGGCTAGGTATTCTGCCCAAAGAATGGAGACACATCATTTCAACCGAAAGGGCAGTTTGCTAAATGGATCCAAAATTGGATCCAAATCTCTGGAAGAACCTCAAATTTTTCCACGCACCTTTCCCAACTTTCCAAAATTGGATCCCACCTGGCATCGATCCCCAGAGCTTCTACAGCCCCAACGCTGCCGGACAACACGGCCAGGTCCAGAGCGCTGTGCTGCTTTTTGTCCAGCTCCTGGCGCCGGTGTTTTCTGAAAGGAACTCAGTGGAAACCACGCAGATTTTGCCATGCGATCTTGGTGCAGAGCTTTGTAAAGGATAAAGGATAATGCCTTATTATCAGGAAACGTCCTTTAAAATCTGGCAAAAGCGACATTTCAAAATTCGACACTTGCGTGTCGATTTCTGTTGAGGTCAACATCCTACGATGGTGTATCCTACGTAGAAGTGGAGAAGGATGGATCAACAAAAATCCATAAAAATCCATCAGAACCCTGTCAGATCTCAGTGTTTTTTAAAATTTCATACGGCCATACGGAAATGCTACGTCACTGGAGAGTTTGGTCGTCAAAAGCCCCAGCGTCCTGCAGAATCTCCTCCCGCCGATAGAAGGCCACTACGGCTTCGACCATCACCGGGTCACCTGCATGATGGATCCTGCTAGGTGATTAACATACCAAAATACCATGAGCTGTTTTGGATATTCTCGGAGTCAACTGTGATTGTTTCCATATCCAACTGGGGAGTCTTGGAGTCTCCTGATTTGCAAACATACCAACATACCATTTTGGAGACTCAAAGACTCCCCAGTCCGCCAAGCTGTGCCAACAGGTAACCTGACTCGGCAGCCCGGTGCAGTGGTAAGCGTCCCAGGAAGTCTCGGGCATGTAGCGGATCTCGGCCCATGTGCACCTGGCGGAAATTCCGAGACATGAGGATGGCCACTTCAGCAACCAATGGATCAACCAATATGAACCATGTTTTTGTGGATCAACTGCTGAGATTTTCATCTACTGTAATCCATTGCAACCCCCAAAAAGATAGAACATCATTGAAGTTTGGTGTTAGACCGAAACTTGGGTTTGGTGTTCCTAAAATCAATTTGCCATGATTTTCGTAGGATTTTACTTATCTATCTGTTTGGGTGCTGCAATAATAGTAAACCATGGGGATGTGAGCACTAAATAGGGATGCGACGACTATGGATGTAAACAGCAGCGCATCATAATGGCAGACCGTTTTTGAATCAACATAATTAAACAAAACATGTAAGTTGTAAATTGGAATACTGGTTGGTGGTTTCAACCAACCCCTCTGAAAAATGATGGAGTTCGTCAGTTGGGATGATGAAATTCCCCAAATATGGAAAGTCATAAAAAATCTATGGTTCCAGTCAGCACCAGAATAGAATACCCAAAGAAACCATATCATTGGATTGTTTTTAGTTGGGAAAATCACCGGAAACCCATGGGTTTTGGCCATCAGACCATCAGAAATATAGGGCTTAAACCGGTTCCAATTTTCCCATCATTCAATGGATTGGTTTAGGGGACATTTTACAGGAAAACCCTATATTTAATGGTAAAAACCATGGTTTCCTGTAAATTTTCCCAACTAAACCAATCCATTGAATCATCCCATGACCTATGACCATCGTCCCATAGATTTGCCGAGAGACCAAGGTCTGGAAGGTCTGAGGCTCGCTGTATCTGGCAGCCAGGTGAATCGCCTGTTGGGATCAATGCGAAGAGATGGAGAAACTATGGTTACAATACTATTAGAATACCAATAGTATTTTACAATAGGTATTTATAAATGATTGTATATAGAATTTTACAATCGTATTTCTATATACTTTTTACCAATCGTTTAATTTTTGGAAAAATATCTGTAAATAGGTAAATCCTCTATAGTATAGGTAATTATGGACCATCTTTCATAGGTAAATCATCTATAAAAATCATCTATAAATAGGTAAATCTATACATGGGCCATGGCTTCCGGTTCGCTAAGAAATTACGAAGGAGATGTCGAGAAGTCCTTGGTTTTTGATTTCAACCCACAGGAAGCTCTTGGGAATTCAATCTCCTGCCTCCTGCCCCAACTCGTCGACATGAACCGTCAACTGACTGGTCGCATGTTCAATCTGATTTTGAATGTCGTAGCGTTTCCTCGGGCGAACCGGCCGCGAGAAGCAGCTTGTGGTGAGAACACAGCTGCATGGAAATATGCTTCCAATAAACACTGTGGAGAAAACAGTACGTACACCCCTGTAAATTTCAACATCAAACCTGGAAAATAGATTAAGATTAAGTTTTGAATAAATTTGACCTTGGGATGTGGACATGTTGGGAATCCAC